AAAAAAAGTAGTTGCTTAAATCTTGTCAGATGTCTTTCGCAACAGATGCTCACAGCAGATCCAGTCGCAGCTGGAGAACGAAAAATAATGCTCAGGGAAGAGCAAATAAAGTCGAAGCACTTGTTAACTCTATGGGAATTCGAGGGAATCTTAAAGTATTCTCCATTTTTCTACGGCTGGTACACAAATCAAGACTCTCAGAGTGGTTACAGATTACCTCTAGCCTATTTCGTCACCAATTTGGTTGTTTATATATACAGCTTCGTCGCTATATTACGCAAGTAAAATTATTTACCTACAAAGTATCAATTTTGATCATTTTTTAACAGTTTCAAATCACATAACGATATTCGTAGAATGGCAGAAAATTCACGATTGAGCAAACTTACGGAGAAGGAGGACGAATACATATTTTCCTGGAAATTATTCACAGGATGGGACTTCATGATTGGTAATCCCGAAACGGCACATAATCGGATGGCAAGCATCGTTCTTGGATTTAAAGAAGTTTTATTGGAAGAAGCTGAGAAAGAAAAGGATAAAAGAAAGTGAGATTATTAATATTTTATTATCATATAATATACCTTTATCATAAAATTCCCAATGATTTCGTTACACTTTTCTACGTTCGTTTTAACTTTTATTGATCTAGTTTTTCCCAACATATTAAATTTTTTTATATACTTATTTCTCGAATTTTATGGTTTATGAAATTATAGTTGGAGGATTATATCAATGAGGATTTTCGTAAACATGTCGGTAATCTTGTTACTGGGATTGTCAGCGTATGCCGTAGTAAAAGTGGTTGCACGAAGTTCAGAGGAACTCGAACAGAACAATTGGTGGCGTCAGAACGAAATTACGGTCGTAATGACTTTAATCACGTATTTGTTTCCCTTTCTTTTTGAAATATTGGGCCTGCTGGAGAAGTATCATCCCAGAAGACAGCTACGTTTACAGCTTGCACGGTGAGCATTTAAAAAATTTGTTCTTTAATACGTATACTTAAGAATTGTTACCAAATTTGAATTTGATGGAATCAATTCCTTACAGGATAATGGTTTTGAATTTGCTGAATCTTTATTCCTTAATTTTTGCATTGTTTGACAAGATCGATTCAATGGTAAGAGTATTGCACTACGTATAATTATGCTTGGTCAGTTGTGAGATTCAGAAGAATCTCAAAGTTTGTTTGGGATATTGATGTTGAAGAAACAAGATTTAAGGGGCCTTCAACCGACGATTAAAAACTGTACTTATAAGGCTATCGAATGCGATGAGAATATGAAGAAATCACAAAGATTGGTGACATTAGCATCTTTAAGTTTAATGTTGGCGAGCAATGTCACTGGGATGCACTATAATAATGATCTCCTTGAACCAAGTATGTTTTCATTATAATCAAAACTTTCTTATTTCTTTCCTGAAATTTATTTCTTACTTGAATTTATTTAATCGCTAGAAGTGATTCTACTTACTTCTTTACTATATGTTAATATGTTGACTGTCATGGTGGTCAGCGTACCATATAAAAAGTACGTGGCAATCAAAGTGTTAACTTTCGTGATGTTCATGACACTTAATGTTGATTAACAGTTTCTTTTACCGAATAATTCAGCAATGCCATCGCTTTCAATCATGCCCACAAGTTTCTATCTGAATCCGATACTTGACGAAAAAGCCTTGGAAGAATTGTACAATGTTGGAGACTATCCTTGGGATTACGAAGATTATGACGATATGAATGAGACTACATCTACTGCCAACAACAATGTAAGCGAAGAAGTGAATGTTACAACGCCAGTGCTCGAACAAAACGATACCTTCGATGAAATTACCATTTTTACTGCCTTTGAGAATCATACTGAAGCTTCTACGGATTTTAAAGACGAAACTGATAATACCTTTATCAGTGCAGTTTTCGTCAACGAATCCATAATTTATGACGAAATAACAGAAGGAAAAAGTAACGATACAACTACACATACCATTACAAGTTTCATTACCGAAGACTTCAATGAAACTTCTTCCAACCTGTACACAACGACGTTACCTGTGCAAGAGAATGACACATCTGATGAGTATTCAATAATTGAAACACTAAATGCAAGCACTGAATCGTCAATAATTACAACTATATTTACCACAGAATCTGACACAGAAATTACTGATAAAATGTTTACCATTGATAATTCCTCGACAACGTATGAAACTGTGATTCCTCTGTCAAATGAGGATTATGTTGTGAAATGTTTCGAACAGATTTGCACGACAACTACGCAAGATACAAGTATGAGAAAAATACAGTTTATATATCAGCTATATTTTAATTTTCTTGCTTCTGTTTTGTACCTTCTTCTTGTAGTTTCTTCGTCGAAAGTGTTAGATCTAAAAACTAGGAAGAAACTTCGTCGTTTATGCTGGGAAACTATGTTTGGACAAGAACTTGCTAAACTTACTGTAATGGACATGGTAAATCTATTTTTTACCATTTTAAATGGTCATTATTTATGTATATTTACATTTCTTTTTTTTTTTTTTATCATAGGTACTCATCATAGTATTTATACTTAGTATAGATTTTTTTCGCGCTGTTTTTGTACGATACATGAACAGGTGTTGGTGCTGGGATCTGGAAAAGCAATTTCCTCAGTATGGTGATTTTAAAATAGCTGAGAACATACTTCACTTGGTGAACAATCAAGGAATGATTTGGATGGGAATGTTCTTCAGTCCGGGGTTAACAGCATTAAACCTTTTGAAACTAGGAATTCTCATGTACTTAAGATCTTGGGCTGTTCTTACTTCTAACGTACCACATGAAATAATTTTTCGGGCTTCTAGGTAGCTGAAAAATTGTTCTTTTATCAGACAGAAGTTTAGAAGAGTTAAAAAAAGTCGGTTTGAGTTTTGCTGTTTTCATTCGTCTATATTTATTTAAAAACGCTATTTCCTTTTGCAGATCTAATAACTTTTACTTTGCCCTGTTGTTAACGATGTTATTTCTATGCGTTTTACCTGTTGGCTATGCTATAGTTTGGGTAGAACCATCATGGCATTGTGGACCATTTTCTGGTTATAAGAAAATTTACCATTTGGCAACGAAGCATCTAACCGATTCTCTTCCTGATCCAATTAAGAAGTAAATTTCTTCTTATTAGTGCTAGTAATATTTCTTAATCGATTACAGATGATTGTTTCTTTATATTTTATGCTTAATTTTATTTACCAACTTTTTGCAGATGTCTTGACTACATTGCTTCTCCTGGTATAATAATTCCATTGATTGTTTTGATGACACTTATTATTTATTATATGATATCACTTACTGGCTCGTTAAGGGAGGCTAATAATGATTTAAAGGTAATTATTGAAGTATAACATCCACGTGTAAAAGTTATATAGGATGCATTATTTATCTTATTAGTCATTGCAAAAACTTGATGATATATCTGTTACTCAGATACAATTGCGTCACGAGCGCACCGAGGAACGACGAAAATTATTCAAGATAGTGAAAAAAAGAGAGGAATCGACTGACGCATCGTTTTTGAAATGGAAAAAAATGTTACCAATTTTATCTAGGAGAACGACAAATACAAGAACCACCAAAGGTTAATAAAAGACTAGATTTGAAATAAAATAATTTTTACTAGAATTGTAATGAAATTCTAGGTGATCCAGAAGCTTTGGGAATAGAAAATCCATTAGACATGCAGATGGATGGAAGAAAATGTTCAACTTCAGAAGTTGTGGAGTTAACAGATATGGAACAGGAAATATCCCATGATCAAGCACAGCATACAATTTCTGAAACTAGTTTCAATGAAAAAGATCCAGTTAATACAAAGTAATTGTTGATTTCTAATCACAAAAAGTTATACTGACTTAAGTATTATTCCTACATAGAATAATTATATTACTTAAACATCCAGTGAATACTTAATAAAAATAACTATTAATAATCAACGACGTTATTAATCATTGAAATGTTACAAGTAGGTTGACAAAAGCTTTTTATGATTTTTGGGAATCACAATCCAGTGACTGCATCGTGATACCAGAGATTCGCATAAACGAAGTCGAGGGTAGATCAGCAAAATATTTCCGCTCAGTATCTACAAAAGGTCATAATGTAAATGAAATAAAATGAATAAAGGATTAAATAGCAAACAATTAAAATATAAATATATGAATCTTGTCAATGTTTTAATACTGAACTGATTTATTTTTCCATTTATATTAAGATTTAATGAAATGGTCGTTTTCCAATACACGCCTTGATGTAATTTACGGACTTGAATCTTTTTAAAATTAGTCTCTTAAAACACGGTACTGATGAGGTATAAAATCGTCGATGTTGAAGTAAAGAACTTAAAAGCGTTCCATTCATCCTTGTAATTTACTTGTACACTAATGAACACAGACACACAAAACATTCACTTGCTAATTACACCTAAAATACTGACGATCCACACGGAAATTAATCGAGTGTGGAATGACCCGTTATAATTATTCCAGCATTTTTAGTATCTTCAGAGAAATTGACCGTTCTAACATCTCACGTACTTTACTCTTATAAATACGTCTCTGAAGAATCATATTTCCTTTTAATTGAAATGATATGTACGCAAGTTCATATTTCATTCTTCAATTCTATAATAGAAATTTTTGTTAGTCCAAAAATTATTATTTATAAGATCCTTTTATATGATTGACGAATTATTAAGAAATTTAGTAAACGTTAAAAATAGCGTTACATTATTCCACATATCGTTAAATGCAATTACATTTGACGTTTTTAAAAACTTACAAATTCTCACTTAGTTAGCTGTACAGTACGCTTCATTTATGGTATAATAAATATTAACAACATGTTAAGAAAATTGTTAAATGATCAGTAAATTCAATTAAACGATTCTTATTAAATTTGTCTTGATCTCTAATTATTAAATACCACTGTTTCTTATAAATTACAAGAATCCTTTTATAAAAGCTTACAAGTGTGATCCGCACAAAAACCACTTGCAGGTCTACTCTCACATTCGAGACTAGTTCACACGTAGCAATCTAGTTCACACTAGTTCATACGTATAAATAAACACAAGTGTATCATTACTAATTCGTCGTCGCAGTTTAAAATGCATAGAAAAGTTATCTAACGAATTGTTCAAATAAAACCATTCTTAGCGTCAGGTGTATACCATATACTGCCTATATAGTATACTACCTATTATCATGTGTAAAGTTTCTCGTCGTTTGTTTCAAAACTTCCTTAAAACACTCCATCACCGATCGTTAATGAGGAATAACGATGATAGGAGGTATCTTCGTCAGCATCGCAGAAAACTTGTCATCGTTCGTTCAAGTTTGGATTGTATATTGGTCTGCTACTCAAAAAGTTGTTTCCACTGATCGGACTGGTCCTGACTTGCATGTATTTTGGCCTTTTGTGTCTGGTACTCCAATGCAGGTAGGTATACCAGCCAGCTACTAAGGTTCCCAAGGCGTTGCAAGTTGAGGAAAAGATTAGAAGAACTGTTAAAATACTCTCAACATCGGGACAGTTCAGATCCATGTATCTAACTGCCGTTTCGGTGGAGTTCGACGCATTTTCGCGTGGCCTGCAGACACAGGTAGCGTTTAGCACACGCGCCGGGTTGCATTCCAGACCCATTAAGCGCGCCAAGTGTATAGCAGAAAATACGCAGGCGATGGAACAGGTCACTGTCGCTAAAATTGCTAATAACACACTGGTTACCTATCGAAAAGAAACAAAACAAGAAAATCTGACGTTAGTATAAATATATAGATTTTAGAAATTACTTTTATATTTAAGATATATGATTTATAAATTACTTAGAGATAATAATCATGACGTAAAAGGAATAAAAAATAAAATTTTCAATTCTGTATAAAATCAACATATTTACGTTCTATAATAATATATTCTAATATTTTTTATCATTTTATTTTATCTAGAGATAGAAATTTTTTAATAAAATATTTTTATCTGCTAAAATGCTAAATAATCACCTTGGTCGATGTGAGACAGAAGCCAGGGCTCATACCCGGGTATTCCTTTTTGAAACAGCAAAGCAAGCAAATACCGAAGCTACCCGAGAGTAATAACTGCAAATAAAAGGAAAAAAGAGGGAGTAGTGATTCGCTAGCTAGTTTTCCAAGAAGATTCTGACAGAGTGCCATTGCTGCAATACATACCGGCATTCCACTCCAGTAGGGATTATCCGCAACCGGCAGGTGAGGTGCCCAAAGTAATAACCATAATGATAATGAAGTGATTGCAACACCGAAAATCGTTTGTAACGCTGCTAAACACCGTCCTAATCGCCAATGGTAAACTAACGGCGGTAGGAACTTCTGTGGTCCTGGTAAAAGAAACATTTTAAACCATTTTATTCAATATTTTTACTAAGTATATTCTTTTTTAAATAAATTTTTGCAAATTCCTTGAAGTAGTAAAAATAATAAAAAATTATTTGAATAATATTCAAGATATCATATTTATTGAAAGAATCAAATATAATTATAAGGACTTACTAATTTAATGCACTTGGTAAAATTAAATTAGATAATTAAAAATAAAATTTCATTTTTAAATGAAGCTTTCAATCTATATTTTAACATCTTATTTAATCAAATGTTAAAAGTCAATACCATTCAATTACTTATCAACTTACATAATATATTCCACCATAATAACTCTACCAAACATACATATCCGTAATATAACATACCTAACCTAACCTACTCAATATATAAGAAATGCATTGATGTCATTCTTCTATTTATTACACTATAAGGATTAAATTATACATAATCTAATAAAACCATTAATAGCAAAAAATAAGGATATAAATATGAAAATGAACCTTTATCGATAAAAAGTACACGAACTTTAATGTGAACAGTAACCTACATATGTAAGGAAAAGATTTCCTTCATGCCTGTCATGCTTCTTTTTACAAAGCGTCACGTACAATGTTATCTTTCAATGTTTTTCTCGCGGTTGACGACACACATTTTCCCACAGCGATCAACGGTCGATACAACGACAGATTCTGAGAAACGAATGTAGGGCCGAAAGAAAGGAGAGTTTCCGAACGAAACGACCTCGCTGTCCCTCCTTACAAGGTATCTTAACCGGACGATCGAACGTACCGTCCTTGCCCATGTCGAACTCAGCCAGGAAACTCGCCCACTAGGATTGTTTGAGATTCGCAACGGGAATTCGAAACGAAAGAAAAAAAGTAACGTTAACGTTCGCCCACCGTCATGCTGACTTGTGACAATATTGACATAGATTACTCGTGATTCTATTTGTGATTCTGCAAAATCATTCATACATAATCATTCACATATCCATTTTTATTATGTATTAACTGTGATATATTTGTTGAATGATTGAAAATTATAACCTAATAAAATAGCATATAAAATGTTATCATAAAAAAGGAACAAGAAATTGAATTATTTAGTATTTTTGTTCAGTTCTGTTTCTTTGGGCTATTCCGAATGCTTTGTGTACAATGCTATACTGACCTGGGAGAATTCCTAGAAGGATGTTAGAAAAGCTTGGGTCGGAAAAGTGGGGGAAATAATCCTCGGAAATAATTCTCTGTGGTTTAAGACCGCACACTAAGCTGAAGTTCCTACATCCAGGAAAGAAACTATCACGATGGTCTACGCGCAAAGAATAATAAACTCATCTTAAATCTTTCACTGATCAATGGTTAATAACATAGCAACCCTATAATATCAACAGTAAATTTTATCATATAATAATCATGAAATCAGCGAAGCTTTTGACGAAGGAACCAAGGTGTCGCTCCGAATCACGTGATATTTACATGAATCGTAAAAGTAACCAAGAAACGAAATATTGTTTCGAGCAATTTTACTAAACTTTGTGGTGTTGTGAGCAGTAGAATTTGATATTATAATGATTATGCAAGTATAGAGAAGGTAAAAATTACGTTTCATATAATGCCTCCTAAGAATGGAAATTCTTTCACTCTCTTATAGGATATTAGTTGACATCCGAGGAATATTAATGAAGGTCGAGGGCCGTCTACCGATGAATAACGCACATGGCAAAAAGAGAATATACGTATGAAGTTTATGAGAGGGCAGAAAGCGACACTACGTTCTCATTCGTCGTACTACAATCGATACGGGGTCTGTTTTGTACGAGACTTGCATACAAAACGAATTCTAACCGTATCAGACGTATGCATAGATAAGAATAGGAGAAGAGAGAAATTGTTTCCTTTTGAGACTCGACTTCAGTCAGATATAAATATAGATGTACATACATGTTTCTTAACATAAATGTTTGTTATACTCAAGATATGTAATGGGAACGTCAAAGACATATAGCTATAATCCGCTTTTTAATACAGAACATTGAAATGAAGTTTTAAATTAATGTAAATGTATAAGTATTTATTTTAATAAAATTTAAGTAACACAGGACCTTCAACAATATTATAATTCTTGTTTAAATGGCATGGAATGAAATGGAAATATTTGACGCATTATTTTTTAAATATTTTGAAAAAGCAACGTATACCGGATGCAGAAGTGCTATCGCTTTTTTATTCGTGAAACGATTCACACGATGCAAGAATGCGGGGCTTGAATATATGTCGGTGCCATTGTGGACTGGCTTTATATAGTATTTGTACATATGTGTGTTTGTATGTGCATCGTGCTTATTATAAAAGAAGGGAAACTATGAAAGCCAGAGCACTGTCTGTAGGGGTTGGAAAAAAAAACGTACTTATTTTTAAAACAAAAAGCTACTTACAAAAATACTTACATAAATTGTTTCAAATTTTAGTTAAAAAATAAAAATAATTTTATACAATCTTGCAAACATTAAATCGAAATAATTATATCTGCATCTACGACTTTGAAGTGAGACATCTATGGGAAGACCAAGTACTACATGTGTTAACATAATATCGAACACACATAACGGTAATCGGTAAAGATTTTCGTATTACATTTATCGAAATAAATCTCGAAGAATTTGTTGTAAATTCGCTTAAATACATAACCTGAGTGTGGAAACATACTGGGTGGTACGTTTTCATTATCCGGTGACCTCGATACATGAATAATGATAGAGTGTTCGACTTGCGTAAGAAGAAACATGGTAATTGTGTAACTGCATTGTAGAGAACTACTATCGCCTACGATACTTCCGATCTACTGAAAATCTTTAAACACCTCAGATGTCACTGTCTTCGATTGTGTACATTTAAACTTCTTAATAATTACAGAGTTATTATTATGAATTACAGAGAATTACAAATTACAGTGATTCCAAAATTAAAAATTAGAAATATGTAATATATAAAGTTGTTTAAGTCTATTCATAATATATGATATTAATTTCTAAATACATACATGCATTTTTTTCCAGAATTATATACAATAGGTGAGGTTACATTACAATTACAAAGTACGAAGTGGGAAATAAAAACAACGTATTGTTTAATTAACAACGTGCATGTATTAATATGCAGAAATTCAACTAGTGAAAAATATATTTCGATAGTCCAGAATATTATCATCAGTAGCATGTAAGTTAACATTTCGATACGTATGTTTTGATAACTAACCTTACACCGTCGAGTCTCGTGACTCATTTGACGTCTTATCGTTACAACCAAACTTATAAAGGAGCACGATAAAAGCAGCATTATTCATCTCTATTAATATTAATTTTACTCTGTTAAATTAATATTCCATTACAAGTAAAAAATATCAGGAACGAATTTTTTTCATTAAAATTTTTGCATTTTTTCTTGCTGACATTTTTATTTATTTGGATAGATAAATTTGTCACTGTAATACAATTTCACTCTCTTAATGAGTTTTTTTTCCTGGAATTGTTTTATTTTTTTCCAAATTTAATTTAGTCTTTAATTTCTTATTTTTTTTTTTTTTTTATTAAGTATTGCTTTATTTTCAGGTGATGTTAAATGCAACATTGTTGCCAACCTATACAAAAATGTTGTCTACCCTATATAAAATAGAATGTTCCTGTGGCTTACGCATTTTTTTCAACGCAAAACGAGAAATTCTTCGCGAAACTGACATAACATTGCAACCTTATTCCTTTTGAAAGCGAATATCACATGACTTAAATTACATAAAGCTGTGACTGGAATTGGCTAATTGAAATTAAGCAAGAATCATAATACCAGGGAAATCTTTCATGGAATTTTTGCGAACTCGTGTTATAGAAGCATGAATATAACATGAATTGATTACATAAAAACTCAATAATATAATTACAAGTAAAGGTAAAACGGAGTACGCGATTAAAATTATATCCAAAGTTCATATACAGTAACCCATGATCGAATGCACTTTAAAAAAGATCACATGATACATTTCCGGTTTGTTACTTCCGCTATTCACAGCGAAGCATGTGTAGCTACTTTAAAGCGGCCACCGTAGCCAGCGGACCAAGAAGTTTTAACCTCTTCGTTCTACCTGCCTCTAACGTAATAATTTTTATAAAATAATGACGAAATTTTATACAAGGCAAAAACGTAAAAATATATAAAGTTTCGCTGGTTAATATTGACACGCTAATTTGTATATTACATTTTAGGACATTCGAACATCTTTACTACAAATGAAAGGAGGAGTCATCAAATTCATACCTTCCAACAGTGTGAAGTTTTCAATCATAATTTTTATAATTGTCTTGGCAGCAACCTTGATACCAGTAGTTTATCGTAACTACATTGCCATAAATACAGAACGAAATTGCAACAGTCACGCAAATAACGCCATCGTCACGAAAAAGTTCTCGAGACAAATGTACCTGTTCTGGGCCAATCTGCTTTCCGATAATTAACTGGATATATACCTGTTATGGTTGCACCTGCAATCTGTTCTCTAACAGACATCGATGATAAACTAATATGTAAGACCTCGAGAGCGAATCTTCCAAGATACTGCACACTATATTATATTGAATTCGAGAAAAATGAACCAGTGAAGAAAACTAAACGCAATCAGACACGAGTATAGACGTAATCGAACTTAGGAGAAGTATTTCAAAAGATTTGCGGAATTTAAATTTAAAATTCGTTAGCACGAAATTTCGTAAGAAAGAAAATCTGGAGGCAATGCATTAGTCGTGATATAAATTATTAATCGTCCACAACAACATTGTCCTTTCCCCCTGTTCGAAAGAATGTTTATTGCAGCGTGAAAGGCCGCTTGGTGACATTCGAGCCTTGTTCACGTGTATTATACCCGTTCCGATCTCTGATTTTGTTAATCATCAAGCGTTGCATCCATGTTATTCAACATGAAAGCAAAAATCGCAAAGTCATTTCGTTATCAAATATAGGATTGTTTCCTGAAGTATTTTTATTATAGAAATACCTATAAGAAGTAACTGGAATGATCAGTGCAACTTTTCGACCAACAAGTTTTATAAGTTATGATATTTCGCTTGTTATTAATATGGTAATCACATACGGATTCCAAGAACCTGTTATTAAACAGAACCTTTAGCGAACTATTTTGAAGCGCCTAATCTGGTTCTAATACCCTCAATAAACGTTTCTAAAAATCCAACATGAGATATCCTGGAATTCGATAGACAGGAACTCGAATATATCCAAGATTCAAACCTTTTGTGAAATCAGTCAGCAGAGACGGTACAATGACCTACTAATATATCGAATAATATGAATCATAAGGTGTGGAGCAAACTGATAAGATGTAAGCTTTATAACTATTTTTTGAACAAATAGATTAAAGATGAACATTGCTAAACGTATTTCGCTGCACGTGTTAAGATTTGTTATCTTTTTGTCTAAAAAATAATAGATATAGAAATTGATGAATATTAATTAAGTTCAAACTGTTCTCTAGTTTTCTTCGCATATTTAATTGTTATATGTGTAGCGTAACAAGTTGAAAATAAAATAGAGAAAATAAAAAGAAACAATATTGTGCCAAAAAGAACAAGAGATACGGTATTCGATCCAAAAGTGTGCAGGAAATGAGAGGAATTTTGAAGATTTTTTTAAACCAAATAACAGTATCTTTATCTTTCAGTGATGACAAATAAAATATCATGTAGTTTTTAAATAATTTAAAAATATTTTATATAAAATACAATCTTTTTCATTATCAACTCACATTTTTGTTATAAAAATTAACAGTAAATGAGACTAAATTATTGTGTATTTCTATAGGAGACGAGCAAATTAATTTTCTGAAAAATGTTTGGAATAACGGAGATACTTAATAACAAGTCAAGATTTATGAAGCAGGTAAGGAAAGTAGTTGAGTACTCACGATGACCACTGCGGTGTAGTACGATCATCCTGCTGTGCCTGAGGGAATTTCTTGTGGGCGTGTGGCGGCCAGCAATTTGAGCGGCTGCCAGATTAACGGGAACCGTAGTTGACAAACAATTGGCCATTGATGGGGCGCGACCCAGCTCCTTCTCTTTCTCCAGTCGATAGACTTTCCTGATGTTCCCTGTCGAGACTGCACCTGCGACAGAACATTGGAGTAGTTACAAAGAGTCAGTAATAAATGAACTTCTTAAACGAAATGACATGTAATAAAGTTATATTCAATAAAATGTACAAAAACTTCTTATTCCAGGTAAACAAAAATTACAATCACGACTTGAAATATGATTTTAGGTAACGACTGATTAAGTTCCTCTAATTTCAATTTCTTTAAAATCAGAGACTTTAAAGATAGATTTGATTGTAGTAATTGTTTTATTTTAATTGTATATATTACTGAAATGTTACGGCTAGAAAGCGCACAAATTTTCTGCGCTGCTTTGTTTTACTACGATGTTGACTGATGCACGAACAAAATGAAATTCGAGAAAGTTTGCTCGAATAACCAACACTAGCAAAGTGTCGACCGAATTTCACTCACAACCGTTCTATTTGCAGTCGAATAACTTTCCTAGGATAGTACGATGGCACATCCAATTTTATCTGACATTACCATTGGCGCCAGTTGTCTTAACTAATAGTGCAAGAGAAGAAAACAATTCTTAATTGAATTTTCATTTTATAATATTTATTTTATTTTTTTCTGAGATTCTGTATACTTTGTTCTATGAATTTTACATGAATTAGTAATTAATAATTGTTCTCATTGGAAATTAATTAATTGAGAAAATAAAACATGGGAAGTTTATTGAACTTACCCGTGACCTTGGTGTTCTGGATCTTCGACACGTTACCAGCACTGACTGCACTACTCACTCGATTGTTGTTATTGTTGTTATTGGCCGTGGCCATCGACGAGCTGATACTGTTGTCACGAACTTGATTCAAATTGTCGGCACTCAGGGCGGAAGTCACGCAAGGTGTCACCATTGGCATGTCCTGAAGAAAGAAAGAAAAACGTAAAGATTACCTTAAATGGATAACATTTCAGTTCAGAAAAATCTAATAACAATATACTTTTAACTAGAACATTTCATTAAATGTATGGAATTACATTAGAAATCATTGATTTCAATATTTAGCTACGTAATATGTATATTATTTGCAAGCTATAAAATCAAAATAAAATTATACCTATTTTTGGTTAAATTATCGGTAAATAGTTCAATGCAATTGGATTAATTGAGCGCACTGGATCGATACATGATCTACAATTACGCATTATCTCACAGTAACATTATTCGCACAGTATTATTAATTTGAAGAAGCTAAAATTATTAATTGCTATTTAATTTTTAACCATTGATAAAAGGACACAAACTTAACACGAACAACTGTACATTAAAACTGTATAAATTTGAATATCCTTTAATTAAACGTACCTGATGTATTTATATTATTATTCTTGTATATATGATAGATCTCCAACACTGACTTTATGTCAAGATACGAACGTAAACAATGACACGTGGCACAGCATGAAAGCTTACCTTAAAATTATCGTAAAAGCTAACAGGACGGCTCTTTGGCGCGTACTGAATCTCCTCGTCGGGCTGCATTATGCTACCACCGTATGTCGTCGGATCTAAGGGCTGCGCGCGCACCTCCCCAGGCATCCTGCGCTTTTTCCTTTTTTTCTTACTTCCGGCGACTGTGGAATTACGCCGAAACGTGAACAAATCTTTTTCTAGACTTTACCAAGAATGCCTTTGCTTTTTTAAGTCAAATAAAACGATATATATTTCCTAACCAATTAGATACCAGAGCATCACTAAGAATCACAATTTAAAATTAAAATAAGAATTACTTTCACTAAAAAAGTATAAAAATGTTGAAATTCAAACGAAATAGGTTAATATATGTACCTGAACATTCTTGTCAGCTCATATCAAGATTTTTCCTCGCAAGGAGTATAGCAACTACACGCTTTTGATTTTCGACCTCCCAGATACACACCTGTGTCTGCACAATCGTCGTATGAATAGAAATAGTTAATGTACAGACGAATGGATCGAAGGGAAATTTCTGTTCCTCGATAAGTCATAAGTTACGTGTCGAATTCCTGTCTAACTCCAAGCGAAGGAAAACAGCCAGGGAATTGCCACGATCAACTTTCTTCGATTACTCTGATGGTCTGTGCACGTGACCAGTCACGTGCACTCGCTATTCACCCCGTAAACGTCTAAAAAATAGAAAGAAATCGTTAACTTGGAAAAATATAAGCATCACTTTTCGATTGAATCGATTTATAACAATTACTTGAGAAAAGCATTGGATACTATAATATATTTAAGTATTAATGTTTTGCTTACTTCAAACATCATTGAAAGTGCACGAAACAAGCGGGATTTCAAAAAGTAGTGAACTTGTCTTATGAAATGAATTCGATTATATCGTTTGTACAGTAGCGTAACTAGTTACATATAAGTCCCTGATTAATTTTTGCTAATATTGGTATGACATTTTATTTGTTAACAATTTTTAACAATTTATATCGTATGTTAGTATCAATGAACCCGAGGTCAACAGAATCAGGTAACCTTTGTAGTATTATGAATCACAAGAAATTACAACATAATGAAACGTCACACCTCGCTGCGCGGGAAATGTTTCCTCAGGAGGAACGGAATAGTCCCCTTAAAGGCATTTAAAAAAAAAAAGGTTACCCTTTCCCGTGGGAACTATGAATATTGTTCATCATCGTTGATTTGATCTCCGTAGAATAAAGAGCTCGATCAATTAAATATCCATTTCGTGGATCGACTGCCTTCCAATCTAATCGTAAGTTGCAAATCTAGATACAAAATTCGTTGTTGCGAAATTGCGTTTATTAGGAGAATTTCAAGTAAATATACCTCAAATACAGGAAATTATGCAGAACTTTAATGTAGACTCTTGTAAGATCCTTTTAGAAAGTATTGTCATTACATTCCTTCTTTAATAGAAAATAAATGACTGAGTATAAAAATGAAAAAGTTAAGATTCTATTACATCGAATTAATATATCGGTTAATACGTAAACTTCTTTATCAACAAAATATGCAGATAAACTTTGTCATGAGTTTCTATGAACTTTCATATACTTTACTTCTTCTTTTAATAAAGCTGAATTTGTTCAACACATTTTTTATAAAAAGGAATTATTTCCTAAAAACATAATAATAATTAAATATGATACATATGATAAATATAATAATAATTAAATATGTCAAATGATACTTTGGTATCTATGATGATGAATTACAGTACTAAATTTTTCGTTAATCATCGAAGTACAACTGTCATTTGACTTTTCCATTATTTTCTATTCGACTACTGTGAGCGCGGCTTTACTTTCACGATACCAGATCCGAAGTTAATACCGACTGGTGTTGCGCAACATGGTACGCAACGCAATGAAACCGTGGCGCGTTGGGGGTCTGTACAATGATGTGACCTACCTATGCCCGGGCCGGTGTTCGGGTTACGGCTGGAAATAAGTCATTTTTCCATTAAGCCCCTTTATGCGGCGCTCACAGTCACGTCACCGTGACCGAGAGTTTACTGAACTCTAGGAGATTCGCAAACGCCTAGGAAATCGCATGATTATTACGTTTAATTTCTTATTTCTGACCCAATAAAATCATTTGTAAACGCATACGTAAATTTGCATGTGCCGACATCTAAGAGTATTTTACGTTTCATTACTTTAAGTGAATATTCTAAAGAAAACTATATTCGATTTATATTATGTTCCAGAAATATACGAAACGATTAATTCTGTTCTTTTTTTCTGCATACCTCGAGGAAAGGAGTTATAAAAATTTGTATGCAAAACACGTAGCGATTAGCTAACCTCAAATTAAAGAGTTCATAATGAGGCTAGATTCGAGCGGTTAGTATCGTTTATTTTTAGTTGTTTCCTGCATTCTATCTCGTTGGGTCTTTTTAATACACCGTATAATCATAGAATTCTTATATTTTTGTCGATCTTTTTGTAAAAGTGACGTGCTCGATCATTCATGTGCTTAATTATAGGAAACCAAATAAACCCATCACGTTCTATTTGTGTGTTACGCGGTACTATGAATATGTTCTTGCCAAAATGTTGTGTTGGCAACTATAAGGAGGATAGGAAATTCATAAAATTACATAACTCTATGCCAAGGGAACATAACCTTATTCTTTATGTATGTATGCAGAACCTGTTAAGTAGAAATCTAAACATGCTATGTTTAATTAAATTATTTACCAAAATCGTATACATAGGTGATTTAAGTTATTTTCCAAATACATAACAGTTACATATTTCGTAAAATATATCTAAGTTATTAATATTTGCATCGTTACTAATTACAGTATATTAGGGAATATTTTTATTTGTCATTTTATAGTCATATTCTATATCATAACAAGTATTCCGTGTCTGCTTGCACGAAATCAACAAAAAGTATGTATGATCGACTCAGCGAAAAATAACTGAAAAATTTTGAATCGCAATTATGCGTGATGTTACATTAAACAAGTAGGGCAACTTGATCTCTACACTATAATTATATTAACATGCACGACGGGTTGATTATGTTACAGTAAATAGGTGAACTGTTTTATCATCTTGTCTGAAATATGTCATAAAAATGATGTAAACTTTTTAACGAAATATACTGCATGATTTTTAGGAATATATGCATATTTATACATACATAATGAATGAATTAATTCAAAAAGTCTATGTCGTAGTTAAGAATGCATTAATGAATATACTGTCGTATAAGATCCCGCAAATCTGATTTAGCAATTGCATTCATTAAAATGCAATCGGCTATGTCCGTAATATCATAATGTAGAATGTATTATGATTGCCATAGCCAATAAATGGAATAGTACCCAAATCTGTATTATTCATGTTCAATGGTAAAAACAACTATGTGATAAATTATCTTTACTTATTATTAAATAATAAATTATAGATGTGTTAGGAATGTCAATTTTTTAATAATGAACAAATATTTTAAGGTGACTGGTCGCCAATGTAGGAAAGACTTTGACGTTTGCAAATAATCTAATGCATTGCAGACAGTGAAGCAGCAATTTTCTATGTTTCGCGCGAGAAACATTCAGCACGTGTGACCTACAGTTGTTTCAATTAAATTCTCCAGTTACAAACTGTTCCAGGGAGTTTATGAACGTGCGACTCTTATTGAGACTTGAAGGTACGATATCATATCGCTTTATACGCTATTGTTCAACGTTTTTAATTCGAAGTGAGCTTTACAAGAGGCAACATCACCGGAAGGATCCCGTCTTCGAGCCTTTGATCACGCACAATGTGGGATGAAAAGCATATTTCATACCTTTGCTCCGAGTTAACCATTCGAACGATTCTGGACAGACGTTTGAATGTTATTCTTTACGTATCTGTACCCGTTTTTGCCTCGAAGAATAATAATAGTCAATAGTAAAAACTTTATATTCATCATTAAAATTCTGTAATGTGTTTACTAAAAGGAGATAAATATTAGTAAAAAAAGAAAATGACGCCAGTCTTTTGTGTGAAGCAGCAATGAAATGAAATTTCTGTTTGAAGATACAGTATGTTTCCAAATGAAGATCTTCATTTTTACATATCTATTGCGCCTGTGTTATCACATAAAATAAACGTTTTTTTTTCATTTATGGTACCGTGCAGCTGACTTAATATTCACGCGCAAACATTTGCGCCGTTTTATTCCAATAAATTCTTTGTAATATAAGTATGTTTGATACCAGTCTATCCGTTTTACGGAATTAACGGATATCGTCGGACGAGAGTGAAACGAGAGAGAAATTGCTAGTATAAATACCTAGGACTCTGGAGAGTCGTAAATGTCCTCCACCGGTTTTCTTCTCAGACCATGAGTATGGATCCTTCAGAGATTTATTACGCGATTCATGCGATTACCCGACTGGTCAGATTTAAATACAATTGGAATTTACTGAACTCGAGATTACACAATTACGGAAACACGGATTAACTGCTTACTGTTCTTCTTCACCATTAACTAATTTTTATAAAAAGAATCATGAAAACTATAAAATTTAAAAAATAAATAATTAAAATGACGGATGATAAAATTTCTTTTATTATTAATTTCAATTATAGGTCTATCGAATCTTTTTTGCAGAAGAGGATGGTTTGTAAATCTAATGGAAAAGCAATTGTGTCAAAGATAAAGAGGTCTTTAATTTAAAGACTATGGAGCACGTGGATGAAGAACACTTGTTGAATCGAACGTGACAAAAACTGATTAAAATTATATTTTAACACGACAATATTGCTTTTTATGGAATTAACAACACGTTACTTGAAATAACTTATTTATTTACATTGGAAAGTCACACAACACAACGTTCTTCGGTTGGTGTCGCAGTGACAACTGAAGTCTCCGGTTTCGCGCGTCTCGACGAAGCTCCCGAGACCCCACCAAAGTCGAGACACACCAGGTATCAGCGGGCCTCAAACCAAACGAATCACGAAGCAGGTGACGACCATTTGGCGAGAAATGCTTCCACCAACAAAACATTCCACGTATCATGCGGTTTAATCGGTATAAACACTGCTTACGAGATTTGCATGGAAAATAACAAGCGATCTAATTGTTACTTGTTATTTATAGTGCAACTGTTTTAAAATGATTCCGTTATCGTGAATTTGTCAGATTGAAGCTTGAAAATAATTTAAAAATCACATTAAAATTATAATATTTTAATATTTTTTACGATTTTTAGATTTTTAGAAATTTTTAAACCTTTTTAGAATATTTTGGTATATAATATATTTTAATTCAATACTACACAAATATATATTTCTAATATTTCTAATATAACCTATATTTATAACACGTAGCAATATATTTTTAGTTTATGAAATTTTGAGTTTTTTCCATAGCATTATTTCTTATTATGTCAGATAAAAATTTTGTTATGTTCATAATTGAATATTTTTATTAAAAAACAAACTTTCTTATTCTGTTTTAGGTATTTGAGCACCACTGTCCCCTCACTTTCACGTCGTCCGCGGTGTTTCAGAAGGAGGCTCGATGAAGGAAGTTGTCATAGCGAGAAAAAGGGTGAAAGAAGAAGGGGAATCGGTCATACCTACCAGTTGACGTTTACCTTGAGCAATTTCTTGCAGGCTTATTACACTTTTTTTCACTGCTGTATTCTTTCCTGCTACGCGATGATCATGGTCCTTCCTCGCTTTAAAGAATCACCTTAGGGTATTTGATGCAAAAAACAAGACGTTGCATAGTCCCGTAAAACTCTAAATTGACGATACAATAAAACTCAAGGTCGGCAACGCGATTAAACGTTCAGGTAATAAATTCAAGGAGCAAGTTTTCCTCTTTGTGCAATCTTTGTGCAATCGTAACGAAGTTACGCAGAGAAGCCTTACAATGCATGCGTAGATAATGACAAATCGGTCTAATTATTGCCAATTATGCGATGTTTTTAGCTGTCTACACATTTACTGTACAAGGACATAAACTTCTAATAGAGTTCATTCATACCAGAGCATCTAGGTCGCGTGAAAAGCAAAGTAAACCATTACCAAGTTGAGACTCGGATAAGTTCTATTAGTCGGATCATATGTCACACAAAATCACCGCGAATCAGCTACTCTTTACCTTAATCGCGGCATCAATTGGAGCAATTACGAGTTTTAATTATTTACAAGGTAAGTATTAGGATATCTCTAATACTAAGTATATTACAATTTCACTCTACAACATTGCTACTAGATGTATTTTATACTATGTTTACTTCATACTGTTAATTTTGTTTTAAAATGCATATTACCAACAGAATGCTTTTACAGGCGATATAATTCTTCGACAGTAGATAACAATAATCTATAATTCATCAAAAATGTATAGACTAATTTACAATTCATTTTTCATGATATGAAATCAAATTGACGATGTAGGATACCATTCCCAGCATTTGTGACGTGTTTTTACCAATAAGAATTTTGAATTTATAATTGATGGACCATGTGCAGAATAATTTATACAACAATGAAAAAAAAGTAGCCACATAATAAAATGCAATTGCGGAACCGAAGATGAGAAGCTTCAAGTATGTTATCACTCCCTACAAAAGCTTATCTAGAGAATTTAAAAAATTTGTATCGATGAATATTGTCATTTGTATTAATGATATTATAAATTACTGTTACCTTCTTTATAACGATTATATTCATGTTACTTAAAACAGCAATTTATTATCAAGCACAAGTGAAACGCCTCACTTTCATTCTAGCCGTCCACTAGCAATCGTAACCACCCACATGACGCCGTTCATTCATCCACAATCATTTCCTCCGCTTTAATGGGACGCACCACCTACGACCGGTTCGATATAAATTACTATTCTTTCTCGTTCGAACGGAACGTACTGGTATTTCCTCTGTCTCTCAGCTTTATTCTCATCCATGTCGTTAGCGGTCGTTCAGAACACGGAGGGGAGAGGAAACGCCGCCAGGTTCGCGAATACCTGCGGATGAAACCGGTCTCTCGAAATCGTCTAAGTTGAGAGGCACAAAAGAACCATGCTGGTCGCGAGAGAAATTCCATTTCCAGCGAAGATAATACGTAGCACTCGCTGTTAGCGGCGATACTTTCAATTTAAGGATTTATCGATCGCCTTACAGCTTAATATAAATGGAAGAAGAAGACTGGAAGGCGAGCAAATTGGAATTTCTGTGGATGGTGGTAAAATGAACTTGTAAAGTATGAAAATTAACCAAGGCAGAACTGAAGTACAAAACACCTATGCTTTTTAGAAGAATGGAAGAGGAAGTATAGAGTTTAAAGAAATTTAATTTTGTGAAAAAAGAAAGAAGTAAAATTCATGAAAAACGTGATTACAGGGCTGAGAAAATGTAGACAGCAAGCTATAAATGATCGCACCCTATCTTATGGACAATGTAAAGCATGAAAGTTTTAAACGATTAAGTTACTCGAGTGATCTCATTAATGATGTCAAGCAAAAATAAAGTTCCGTTTTAATCGATGATTGCTTCAACCCACACCGTGATCTTCACAGAAGAAAAGCGTGAAGAATCTAGCTCTGAAGGTTAAACGTTTTACTTCCTTGAAACTTGACTGTCTGATGATTCGTATAATTTTAATAACTGTTAATTATTTTCTTTCAGCATCTCGTTGCTTTATTTGAATTTTTTATTCTTGATCAGGAGTTTCATGTTTAATCTCAGATATATGTTACATACGCAATGAATCAATAGTGAACACCGGTGAATATTCAGCTGTGATTAGCATACTACTCATTCGCTAACAGGGAATAGCGATTCTTAGTTAAAAATAAAATGTATTTGGGTATCAAATTAAAATTTGCTTACAAATATTCATCAAAATAGTTCTTTAACGTTATTAAAAATATAAAGATATGTATAAACATAAAAACACTATCTCATAATAAATACCATAGTACAATAACAACTACTTTTTATTAATATACATGTGATACTATTTTTTAATATAGTATAATGATACCATTTTATGCTATATTATTTTATGGTACATCGCTATATTTCTAAGCGTACTATTTAAATAAAATTGAAACCTTCAGAAGGAAGTTGAAAATTAAGAAGAAGAAATATTCCTCCAATCATCTATTTATTTTAGTCTGTAGTTTTATGTTACTTGCTGATTAACATTGTAAACTAAAAATGGTAGAAATGTATGTGCATATAATTCACGTTTCAATTTCTGATTCACGCGAATCAATGCACGGACATGTCTCGATTCTAGCGTGACATCAGTACCACAATAAGTCATGATGACCTGGTGTTCAAGAATTCGGAAGAGATAAAAGCAGGGCTCTATAGACAGATGGGGTAGGGACTAAAGCACCCCTCAAACCCTTCGTGCTTTATCTACGAATATCCTAGCACGTTAATGACTCATATATAATCAGTTAAAAAGTCACAAAGAGAAGAAGAAACGTGTATGAAGATGATAAGTAGAAAAATAATCTGTCCAACGTTAAAAATAAACAGTTAAGAATCTACTATTATAACAAACTTAACAGACACTAAACATAAAACAAGAAGCATAAAATCACATGATAAATATATAATTATAATTGTAAAGTAAGTTTGAACGAAGAATCAAGTTTTCCTTAAATGTTAATAGCAAGAACGTTGTTTACGCTTGGCAGAAAATTGATTATTAGACTAGAACAAAGGATGAAAAGCAAATTATTAAATGGAGAAACTGAAAGGTATTCAGATGCAAAGAGGAATCCATTATTATCATACATTATTTTTGTTTTCTAAAAAAAAAAAGAGAGAAAATGAAAGAAATCAGCTTTTACTTTTTGATATTAGAAGATAGAAGTACTAAAGTATTACCTAGAATAGAATTGGATCGAAACACAGCCGAATCAAACCGCACCCATGGGCCGAACAATGAGCAACGCGCTGGAGAAGGGACACATTCCTTTTGTACGCGTACAGACGCATCGTGAATGCTCATCGAACTCGGTTCGTCTTACCTCCAGAAAATACTGGTACGAAGCGCTCGTTGAAGTGTAGACACTAATTTGTGGCGCTAATGAACTCCACGAGAAAAGCGATCGTTTCTTTTTACGATTTCTCTGAGCGAACGATGTATACTTGGATGGTCAAAAATGGGTTCCAATGTGCAGAATGTATTATTGCATATATTCGGAAAATTGCATTTACGTGTAGCTACGAGAAGCCAACGGAATGTGCAATCGGGTCAAGTTGTAACACACCTCAATCACATTTCATACATCAAATAGCAAACTAAATAAAATTAACATATTGAGGTTGACATTGATGTTATGCAAGAATAGCATGTTAAATTGTAGAAATTGAACACCAATGTAAAAAACATTTAAGCATACCTTTATCTCATATGAGTGAAAAGTTATAACCTTTATTAATATTACTTCAACTTTCAAGAGACATCTTAATCTATTACATCTGACTTGCTTATTACATATTAGTTTAAAAAATCTGTAATAATAAGCACAGAAGGAATTTATATAACCATAAATTTAATGTGAATAGATAATATTATATTATAATATCGATATACTATGAAATTTACGTGAACTCACTAAAGAATTATAAAACTTTATGCAAATTTTCGGTCAATTGGACAGTCGTCAATTATTCGTAAAATTGGTATTGATATTATGCAAAATCACTTAAACTAAAGAAGCAAGATCTTAAGGATCTGCAACTTCGTTGGAATGATAAAGATAAAATGCCGTCAAACTTACTTAACCGAACCCACTTGCAACTGAAAGGAGAGGGATAAAGCAGTACGGGATTCAAGGAACTTATTGTTAGTGGAAGTTATCCTCAGGTCATATAATTGCAATACAATAAATTCTTTTTGGCGACTTTAAGATGATTTCAATTAGATTTTACTCAAAATTTCAATTCTGGAATTACGTCAAGCAAATTGAATTTTTTCATTATCTTTTACATACTTATACATATAAGTAGCTACTATAAAAAATACATTTCACGGAAATAGGCAAGCATGTTATATAAACTATATGACTCATGGACTGTGAGAATTGTGGCACAATATTTCTACATGAATTTGTTTACAGGAACTCGGATGTATTTATACAGAATTAAACATGTCTAACTCCAGTATATTACTAAAGAGATATAAATTAGTTAAGTTCAGATAGTTCATTAAGTCGTTTTAAAAATAAAATAAATATTTCTTAATATTTATTTAGATAAAAGAAAATGTCTATGATGTCCTTATAGATAGATGTAAAAAATGATGATGTAAAAATTCTTTTTTATACAATTTCTATGATACAACAGACAACGTGCTACTATAATTTTAATGAATGTAAAAAGTATACTGACGACTAATTGAAAAAATAAACTTTAGGGCAGTAATGTTTCTGCGGACAACTGTCTACCTCTACCGGCAGTTAGGTAAATAAGAATTACGCAAGCTTTATAGATTTTCCAATATAAAATAAATATAATTTTTATGTAAGCAGATGCGTCAATTATAAATTAAATTACTCCTTTTCTATTTTCATGGTGTAATAATGAATTGTTTTTTAAGGATATGTTTTTTTAAATTCTTATAAATTCCCGCCAGACATAATGTGACATAGGTGGCACTAGCGCACTACGTGAAAAGAGTGGTGCGAGAAACATGTGTGGTCGAACAGCTTGGTGAGTAATCTCATCACGTAATTTCAGTAATTAATTCATGACACGCAAGCATCACAATCTGTTAGTGACAAAGGAAACTTACGAATGATTTTACAGTTCTCTGAACCCGGATACTTTGTGCCGTGCGTGCAGCTATAGGGATGCAGCCGGCAAACAACGCACGACAACATGGACCAAAAGTGACGTCAAGTACGTTCCATCTACCAATATTGGACCTAAGGATAGTCTTCCATGTATCGTTGTTGGCTCACACTTTGGTAAACAGGACGAACGAGTCCTTTGTGCTATGATGTGGAGCATGATTCCACCCTGGAACGAGGTCAGTGTTTACAAGCAGGGTTAGGTTGAATGACGTTTCACGGGTGGGGGATACTTCACGTGGTTACCATTTAATTGTCAACAAATACATTGACGCAGAATGTGCCTATTCAGATGTAAACATATGCATCTGAACATTTTACGGATTACAATAAATCATAACATTCTTTTTTATTGCTTTTATTAATCTATAAATAGAACAAAATGTTTTCAATTTTTTAGGGAAATTATAAAAAGCACAATTTGTCGACGCATAACGCACGATTGGAAAATATAAAAAATTCCAAATTATACAATCCACCACTACGTAAGGGATATAGATGTATTGTACTTTGTGAAGGATATTATGAATGGAAAGCTGGAAAAACAAAGAAAGATCCTAAACAACCGTATTATATATATGCTACTCAAGAAAAAGGAGTAAAGGCAGATGATTCTTCAACATGGAATGATGAATGGTCTGAGGAATCTGGTTGGAAAGGATATAAACTTCTACAAATGGCAGGAATTTTTAATACATTTAAAACGACAGAGGTAAATATATCATCTTTATATGTAGAATTCAAGCATGAAATTATAAATCACATTTCAGGGTAAAACAATATATAGTTGTACAATTATTACAACTGAGTCAAACAGTGTTCTTTCTTGGTTGCATAATCGTATACCTGTATTCCTAAACAAAGAGGAAGATATACAGGTAAAGAAATGTAATTATTTATGTATATCTTAAAATAATAATTTTTTTACATATCCTATTGTTTTTCAAAATAATATAATACTTCAATATATTTATATTTTTCTTTTTTTTCTTCTTTTTTTTTAATAGATTTGGTTGAATGGAGAGCTATCAGTAGCTGAAGCTGTTGACAGATTAAACAAATTAACGTTATCAGATGGTGATTTAAGTTGGCATACAGTTTCAACTCTGGTAAACAATGTATTATGCAAAAGTGAAGATTGCAGAAAGGAGAAAAAAGCCATGTATGTATATTATATATGTAAAAAGCAGTATAATTAACTGTTCACTGTTAGAACTATGAACTTTTAATCCTGTGAAGTGGCATGCTAGACTATTGATTTACTAATTCTATTATGTACAGAGCAGAGAAAAAAAACAACCCTACTAGTTTTATGGCTTCTTGGTTGAAGAAGGGGTGTGCAGAGTCAGCTAAGAGAAAATGTACCGAAACTGAAAAAAGTGATAACATACCATCCAAAATTGCAAAGTAATAATTGCAAATGACAAAAAAAAATGTTGTCCAAGCCCATAAATGAAACTTCAGGGAAAACTTTAATTTTGTGAAAATATAAGCTTTAATGTAAATATTGATTGATTTAATGAATTTTTAAGGATATTTATTTAAATTATAAATTTTTTATACTTTTATATTTCATAAAACAGTAGCAATATTTCAATATTTCATGATGGTAATACCATTATATATTTCACATAAATGTTTTAAGAAAAGGAGCATTATATTATTCCATTTTTCTAAATTAATGTTTTTCTATTTAATACTAAATGTAATTACTAAATGTAACATGTACTTATTTATAATCATAACTTAATAGGAAGAAGTTTTACAGTTTTTATACTGTAAACATCACTATTAAAAATAAACTAATATATTTTGGACACGTATCTTTTTTCTCATATTTTGATTACAAACATTTTACACAATCACTGATATTAATATTAAGTAAATTAATTTCTAATATACCTTGTATTCAATTTTTAAAGTTTTAATATAAATTAATAATTTTGTTTACAAGAAAAGAATAATTATAACATTATGTAATTTCCTATAAATAAATTTAATTTAATTTAATTCTCAAACATTTTCAAAATACTTTCACAGATATTGTTTAAAAACTTATTTAAGAAAATGAAATTCTATTTGGCGCTTATTAACACGCATGCGCAGGACAATGCAACATGGCAACGACTATTTCTCCAATCCCATTCGGCAGTAACAAAGAAAAAGGTAGAAAAAGAGGGGGATAGAAACTCCGGTTTCCCGAAGATGTCAGCACGTTGGCTCGTATTTCGCGGTGGTAGCAGTGGCGACGAAGGCGATCGGTGGTGGTTGAGCTTGCGAGTGGTGCAGTGTGTACGATAGAGAGCAAAGGTATACGTACGTGTGGAGAGCTGTGGTTACGCGTTTTCGTCTCTCGTGCGGCGGGGGCTGCCCTTCGCAAGAATCCGCGTCACGCATGGCACCGCTCCGTGCTTGAGACGCCTTTTTCTCGGAGACAGAGAGAGCAAGATCATACGCGGCCGGGGCACAGCCTCTTCGCGTGCTTCCTCTCGTTTTGCCGTTTTCGAGCGCCGAAGAGACAGAGTCGCGAACGAGCCGACAGAATGACCAGCCAGGAGACGCGCGAGCAAGGGATTAGTAATGTAGAAACCGAGTACCTCGAGATCAACTCGAAAGGAGCCTGGGCGATTCTCTATCAGGTAAAGATCGCCCCTTCCACTCTTTTTCCGTTTTTGCGTCTTTCTTTCCGGTTTCCACGAGAAACGGCGGTTCTTGCCTGCGAATGTGTCAGCCTTGCTACTAACCCGTAATCTGAATAGAATCGCGGAATTGCTTTCCGCTGACATGATCGCTGGTTGCGGTTAATGTTCAAATGAAGAAATCTTGTTTATTCTCCTTTGATGATGTTTGTTTGCCAATTGAAGGTGATACCGTGAACACTAGTACGTTATCATCTATCGCGAGATCTCGCGGTACGCTCGTGAATTTTTAACAGTCTTCCGCGCTGCTGAATGGGAAACCTATGCAACAGCGTATATGTCACTCGTCTGTTATCGGACTTTAATTTATTTATCATATGGATCGTTGTTAGTTGCGTTCAACTTCCTCCATGATTTTTGTTAGTGCAACAATGTGCTCAATTAATTTGTGTTCTACAAATTAATTTTCTGCACAACGATGCGATTCGATACGATAACAAGTTCAGTAATTCCATAACGTTTATTCTTTATCTCTTGGTTCTTAACGCTCGCTTTTCTGCGGATATTTCAATACACGGATTGTTTCTCAATTCCCTGGCTTATCATTTTACTTTCTTGGAAAGCGGTTTTCACGGGAAAATTATTAAATGATGCATAGGCTATGCATTGTGATTTATTTGCCAAGGTCAAATGTCTTGTTTAAAATATATTTACCAGGTATATATCTAGTAGTACAATTTGTATTTGTAAGTAGAGGTATGAAATTTGTTTATAAAGTACTACATTGGATAAATGAAAATTACTATTTTTATGTATTTCTTTGTCAGTATAATGTACCTTACTTTTATAGCATATACGTAACGAATGCAGCAATTTTACATATACATGCAATGAATCAAAGAAGCCACAAAACAAAAATTTGAACCGTTATAGAGATGTTTTGCCATATGACCATAGTAGGATTATTCTCAAACGAGGCCCATGTGATTACATCAATGCTAACCTTATACGGGTAGCTATTGTATTAACATATCTAATTCTAAGTAAAGAGAATATGATAACAAGTTCATTTTTATTATAGGTAGATCGTGCCCATAGACAATACATTCTTACACAAGGACCATTAGAAAATACTGCTGGCCACTTTTGGCTAATGGTATGGGAACAAAATTCTAAAGCTGTGTTAATGTTAAATAAAATAATTGAAAAGAGTCACGTTAAGTGTTATCAGTATTGGCCTCTTGGTGATTCAATGATTAGTACTATGAGGTTTCCGAATGTTGGTATAAAAGTAAAATACATCAGTAAAACAGAATCATCAGATTACACAACTAGAATTTTAAAGTAGGGAAATAATATAGAATTAAATTGCAAATATTTGTCATATTTTAATCCATTTAAAAAGATTTTTAAAACTTTGTTTATGTATTTTGGCAGGTTAACTGATTTGGAAACAACAGAAAGTAGAGAAATATTACATTTTCATTATACCACATGGCCAGACTTTGGAGTTCCACAAAGTCCAACAGCTTTTCTACATTTTTTAACAGATGTTAGGCAGTCAGGAGCATTAGATCAAAATGTTGGTCCACCTGTAGTACATTGTTCTGCAGGAATCGGTAGATCAGGAACATTTTGTTTAGTTGATACCTGCCTTGTTTTGGTAAGCATTATATGTAGTAAATAGAAAATTTTTAAATTACAGAAGGGAGACTGTTTTAAATCCTAGATTGTAAATTTATAGTAAATTTTATTTTTTTGTAGATTGAAGAAAATGGGTTAAATTCTGTAAATGTTAGGGATGTGTTAATAGAAATGAGAAGACATAGAATGGGTTTAATTCAAACATCAGATCAATTAAGATTTTCATATGCTGCTATCATTGAAGGAGCAAAACAATTGCCATCCAACAACGTGGTAACTAATACCAATTCACAGTGGTACAGTGTTATTAGTTCTTTTTTTTTTTTTTTTTTTTTTTTTTTTTTTTTTTTTTTTTTGTTTTTGAAATTAACTTCATAAATGAATGTTTTTATTGAATGTTTCATGTACATATTTGTCCTTAGAAAGTCTTGTCTTTGATGTAAATTAACACTAATAATATTGTGCTACTGTGATACATTATAATCCTTGACTTTCACTAACTTTCCTGGTATTTACAGAATATTAACAATGAAGTAGTAACAAATCATTATGATGTGGTAAGTAACATTAGTAATTCTTCAAATGAAGAGGAAGATGAACCACCTCCTTTGCCACCTCCAAGAGGTGAATCCTTAACACGTAGCATGATGGCAGATTTAACTTCAAATCCAATAACAAGAAATGGTAAGCATGTGAATGATTAATAATTATCAAAATTAATAATTTTCAAAAGATAATTTGTTTTTCTCTTAATATTTAATGTCAGATGAATTAGGTGGACCTCCTGATAAACCATTGCCCAGGGAACCATCAATTGTTACAGAAACATCTAGTGCCAGTCCATATACGGGTGCAAATTCTACAGTAATTACAAATAATTTACATGAACAGAATTCTGATGGTGTTGTAGTGCCTAATGATAATACCAGTGACGGTGAAAACTCTTTACAGACAATTAGTCCTCCGTCCAGTCCTGATGTGTAAGTTATTTAAAGAAGAAAATATATGTATATATTCAAGTTACATATATCACGATTTCATATTTAATTAAATTATTAAATTGTATATATGAGAATATATATATGTATCTTTTTAATAATTATCTTATTTAAACAGGAAAAACGAAGTACGTCATCGTTATAAAGAGAAAAAAGAACGTTTGGCAGCACAAGTACGAGAGATGAAACGTCGTCAAAAAGAGACTGAAGAATGGCAGAAGCTCAAGAGGTCATTATTTAAACCTCTTACAATAGGCATAGGCGCTGCAATTGTTGGTGGGGGTATTATAGCAATCTGTGGCTATTTGTACATGCGTGGTTAGGACCAAATTGTTTCTCTGTCACACATGTACGTGGACCATCGAGTTGTCAGTGATACTAGGTGATTCGCACATTCAAGAATAGTTACTTTCACCACGAAATATTTAACAACTCCATTGCACATGCCATTAATTGCCGTTTCGAGAGAGTAATTAATCAGGGAGAAGCATTTAGTGTTACGTAATTTGAAGTAAAAACACACGCAGTCGTCGTGAGGCGTTGTATCAATACGAGACTATTAATTGAGTCGGCAAAATGAGAGACATACGCCAGTTATTAAAGAAACGTTAAAGAGAAGTAACTTATTCTAATGAAGTGCATTTTGTAAAAGACATTGTTGCACGTTGAAGAAACGAGAAAAAAATGAAAAAAGAAGATCAGAAGGTCAATGATAAAAGAGAATGAAAGAAAAAAGGGAGATCTTGGATTTGTATTTTTATATTGTGATTCACACAATGAGTATGTAGTATACTAGAAGGTATTCATTCTGTTGAAAATGCTTTCGTTTGGTTTCCTTAAAAGCCGCACTTTACAAAGTCAGTAGATCTTTTCGTATTCATGTTTTCGATTATAGTAGAATAAGAGGTACATTGAGTTAGATTTTTACTTCGTGACTTTTTTCTGTCTCGAGTAGAAATAGAGATATTTGTTTTATAATGCTAATAATTGAACGTACATTCTATAAATAAGGAGAGGAAAAAAGCACGTATAAAGATCTAAAATAAATAGTCAATGTCTTCTTGTTCGTATATTGTAATGAATGTAGGTTCTTATATACAATAGACATTACACATCAAGTGGGTGCACGACATTTCGATAAGTAAGATCGATTATTTACTTCGAAAGTAATAATCAATATAGAGGCAATTAAAAGTATTAATTTACTACTTTTTTTTTTATTTCTTACAACACTTAAATAAATTTAGATTTCTTTAATTTAATTAATTTTTTGCCACTGATATTTAAATTCTAACATCGAGTTTAAAGGTGAATAAGATAAGTTTTTTGAGTATTTAACTGTTAACCTTTGAATAAATTGGACCTGCCATTAGCAATTGTTCAGGGTACTAAAATCATTTAAAACTAAGAAGTACCCAATCAATTTCTTAGATTTTAATGAATATATTCGTGATAGTCGTAGAAAAATATTAACAAACTCTACAATTATAGCACACTATATAATTTTTCTTTTTTCTTTCTTTTTTTTTCATATAAATAACTTGCCCATTGAAATAGGGTCTACTTTTCCATAAAATGTTTATGACGAGGTGCAGTCACATTAGAAATTAACATAAGCGATATCTGTGACGAACCGTGGCCCATTCTCATATGGCAATGCGATCGTTTATTTAGATTCGCTGATTTCGTTCGAAACTTGTTCCTGGGGCTATGAGTAAAAGGGAAAAGAACGTTCTTTACTTTTCATTTCCTTGAAGTAACACGTCATTGAGATATTTCGTTCAATATGGCAACTGGTGCCTTCGATATTGTGTGTATTTCGTAAATAATTCACGCAATTTCATAAACACCTCGTAATCGTTTGTAATATGAGTCATTTTGTACTTGAAGTAGCTGAGAGAATTTTTTACACGAGAACACACGTCTGTATACGGAAAATTGACAATTAACGAATTTCGTGTGGTATGGAAGAATATTATGATTAATGAATCTTGCTTCGGTGCTCATCACACGCTATTTTGCATATTGCATTTTTTATTTCATGTGATGAAACTATCAACAAAATGGGTGCCAAACAATGAGAAGCCAACAAGAATTTTGTATTTTATGCATAGTACATATAGAAGTAATTAATATTCCTATGAATCAGTTTTCGGTATTAGCCCTGGTGCATATGTCAGTTGAAGTATCGAAACAATATCTGACTACATGAAATTGAATCAAGCACATGATTAATTAGTTCTAAAAATTAGTCAGTGATTCGTAGGAACTTCCTCGCATGTTCGATGATGAAATAAAATTGCTGGAAATGATGATTTAATTGAAAGATAGTTGATGTTGTTCACCAAAAATTGATACTTTCTGTGCACCTAGTCAGTATAATAACAAAACTGACGTCGAAAACTAATTTAATCAGAGAAACATGCTGAAATAACGAACCCTATCATGGTTGCGTTAATGAATTTTATTTTTACATTTTTAACACTTTATCAAAGCGTTTTTCTGCACCAACAGTTTAATTCCTGTCGAGCATCTAAATAGGTATTTTTATAATACTTAAATGAAGCTCGAAGGACTTTAATTTGTGCAAGAAAAAAAAAAAAAGAAATTATAGAGAACAGGGATTAAAAGAAACGCATCTTCTTAGAACACGAATTTTAACCAATTTGCTCAATGATGAACCGTTCAGAACACATTGAGCACTGCGGAAAGACTGAGTACGTCTAATTGCTTCTAGGGGAAAACGAAGTTTAACAAACGAAAGAGAAAAAGGAATACGTAACGCGTTAAAAGAAAATTGTATTCTTAAGCTGAGCTTCTATGTAAGTCGTTACCATTATTCTTTAACTGAAGAAGACTTATAGGATCGTGTTCCAAGACAAAATTGAAAAAAAAAAAAGGGAAAGAAGTTGAAACAAAAAGTAAGGTATTGGTTAGCTGTCTGCGTTTCAACCTTTTTCCAAAAAGAAATCACGCATGGCGTGACATACGTATTTTGTACTTTTATATTACGTTGTTAACTGTAGGATGTTCGGAACACGATCCCCGTGCGAAAAAATGATTTTGGGGAACGTGTCATCTTCACCGTATATGCGTTCGTGTGTTCGTTTACGATGTACCGACCATAATCGCATATAATTCAAAAAGATGTCACCATGTTCCATCTCAAGTAGTGTTAAAACATGTTCGAAGTTGAATACAGTATTCTGTCGACGGTATAGTTCATCTATGTGTGTGTGCACCATTGTATCTTGTTACCTGATTTTCGTTTAGAATATATTCATACGTTTATATTGTCGTTAGGGAGATATATGACCCGGGCGCGTTTTCTTTTCTCTTTTTAACAATTTTTAAGATAGATTTGAATAAATTAGCGTTTAGAGGGTGCGAAAACAGTGTGGAAACAGCTTTCTTAAAGCAAGGAGAACACGTCCATCAGCCTTCATTTAAAACGATTCCATTGGACAAAAGAGATGATAGCGTCCCTAGAAGAATCTACAAATTCGATATTTTTCATATTTTCTTTTTTTTAGAAACAACTATGATCTCCGTGGTAAGGATTCTTTAATTCTTACGATTGAAACTGCTTGAAGCTTCCAGGTGTTGGTTGAATACTTTTGGAGGAACTTCATCGTTAAGATTACTTCCATCGAAGATCTGAAAATAATGATAACACTTTTTCATTCATTTTTATTGCCTTTATTTTAGATAATATTAATTTCTGAATTATAATTAAAATTTAATACATACTAAGAATATTTAACGTTATAACAATTGTAATTGTACAATTTAATCTGATGAATGCATTTTTAGATGTTTAATGAACTTTCTGAAAGGATAAAATTGACACCTGGCAGCATGTAGAAGTGCAACCTACTTGAGGGATGAAATTCATTTGAGATTAATTCAATATCTTTTGTTATTAACGATCGGTCATGATGAAGGTATTCTACGTGTTCACCTAAAATTTCTCGATTTAACACCGCTGTTCATATTGTCGAGATAACAAGGTGAACATTTGGCATTGAATGCTCGTCTAATTTCGTTGATGTTGGTCAAGGGATATTTCCCGAAGAGATCGACAAAGAGCGTGTGAGAGAATGCAAGAGCGCGTGTGTGTGAAACGAGGAACGAAAAAGAAATGTATTCTCGAAAACTAAAATTCACGAATGACACGGTGCTAATTAAAAGTTCCAAAAAAAAGAAAAAAAAGAAAAAAAGAAATAAAAGGAGGAAAAAGAAGAGGAGAAAATACAACACGCTTTGACACGTATGCATGCGTGAACGTCAAGAATGGAAATTAAAGGAGTAAGAGAGTAAAAAAAATGAAATATTACGAGTGACGATCGTAAGATTTCGTACGAACATTTTCCTACATTTCGCCTCTAGAAGAATAATATATAAGAACAGGAAAAAAAGAAAGTCGCAGTATAAGAAATTTTTAGAGGAGTACTTCGTCGACTATAATAAAACATTTTATATAGAAATCGGACGATCAAGCTCGGAAGAAAATTTAAAGGAAAAGGGGTAAAGACAAAGAGGGGAGGCTTTCGTATACAATTTCAGTTTTCCTCTACGCAGTAATTTCTCCATCATGTACAACAGACATAAACGTTATAATGCTACAAGGAACTGCAGAAACATAGATAAGTGCCTAATCGTACGAAAGAACAGGAAGTGAAAAAGGGAGCCATAGTGAAAATACGACCAGTTGTAGCATTTAATAATTACGACACTGTATGCAACCCCTCGCCTTTTGGAAAAGCAATTAGTCATCGAGCAAGTGAATCCTTTACTATCCGACAATATATATATATATATATATTTAGAAATAGATAATCGTTCCAGTAATTATATTGTCATGTGACTGTCAAATGATTGAGCCACGAGATTTGAAGTTTACCTCACTAAGTAAATATGAAGAATTATTTATCTTTCGAGTAGTATTAAACAACATTTTTTCTCTTAATGCAAGTTCTATAATACAATGATGCTTGATGGAAAAAATATAGTGAAATGGAAGCTGGGTATAAAATCATAAATTGGCACAGAAACGATCTTCTATATTTTTCGAATGTCGTGAACTCACATGATGTAACAAATAACAAAAAATACATTTACAGGTATATATTTTAGGAATGTTACTTCATCTGTCACTAAATTCCTTCCAACAAGACTCAGGCGAAGAAGTTCGTGGTTCGATCAGACCATTTGGCAGTCAAATTACCTAAAACTAAGAATCGAGTTGCGCCTTTGAAGAAAAAAGCAAACGAACGAACGAAAAAGCAAAAACCAGTAAAACGAGAAACGAAGATTAAGGGTTAAATAACAATCATAAGTTGTCGTCTCAAAAACAAACGAAATATGAGCAATGTTGGAAGTTACTTCTCCCTGAAGTCAAAGTGCATCCTTGCGACTCGACTTCAACGCAGTTAACTATATTTACGATGTACCGTGGTAGAAGATGTATCCAGATGTGGTATTTTATATGTACAGCTAAATGAAAACACACGGGACAAGTGAAAACGTTATACTTGGTAGAATTAGAGAGAAGAATCATAGACAAAGAGGGTTGAAAGAAGTGAAATGAAAGAGCATACCGCCGATTCAAAAAGAAAGTCAAAAAAATTAAAGTAAACTTTTATGCAATTTTTTCTGATTGGTTCCACGGAAAGGCAATTTTAATGAAATTAAAATGGAAAAACCATTCCAATGTCACTTCGCTTCTTTACATGCCTCAGATAGAGACAATTAGATTTAACGAAAACAATGGATAGCATGAGAAAACGGCTTGCATGCAATAAAATGTTATTTACGCGGCAAGAGAGAGAAAGAGAGCAGGAAAAAGTCGATATGCGCGGCTATATCGATGCCCTCATGACGCATATTCTTTTTTTACTCCCGAATGTAGAAAAAAGAAAAAAAAAAAGCAAGAGCAACTCGTAGACGAGGTTTCCCGATTACATATTTAGATCGATCAATACAGGAAAGGATTTTTTCGTACTTTCCAACTTTTTTTTCATTCCACTACCCCCTTTTTTACTAACGCGACCGGACGACAGGTTCCGCATTTTGAAATTCGCAACTGATCAAATAAATTTCCAATTGCAATAGCGCTTTTAATTTTATATCTTTCCTCTACTTAATCTGATTCACTTAAACACGACATTTTCTTGAAATTGAATTTTTTTTTTTAAATCAGCGAATTTGATATTCAAACCTGCCGATCGGTTCCCCCGTTCCAATATTTCACCTAACAGTTCCACACGCGAAGATCAGTACGAGTGAATTCGAGTTGATCAATCCCCATAACACTAACAGGTCTAACTTGACCTCGCGTTTCTAACAGACCTGTTTATTACTAATCCGTTTTGTCTTGCGCTTGTTTAATTTCTCGTACTTGTCTTCCCAGCAGTCACAAAATACCTTCATCTGGTGATTTCTTTCAGATCTAAAAGCGAAACTACTACCGAAAGCAGCGAAACCGTACACGAGGAGGCCGAGCCTGCAAAATAAAAAAATAAAAAATAAAAAAACGCATAAAAAAAGTAAAAATCTAAGCAAATCGCGCGACAAGATCGCGTTAGCATCTTAAAAATAAAAATATACCTCCTGCCCCAACCCCAGATACGGTTCATCGTTCCTCGAATTGAACTTTTTTAAAAAAAATGAACACACAGACACAAAAATACACACGGATACACCGCAGAGAAAGCGAAGGCTATTCGATACGATGAATGCTTAACTGAGGAAAATAAATCGATTTGTTTAGTACAACAGAAACTACACTTGATTCGACATTTTCAATGCCATACAGTAGGAAATTCTTTTAAGACATATCCTCTTTCCTAATCAATGAATTAGTATTCTCTATTTCCTCGTGAATGATGACAAGAAAAGATATGGTCGGTACGTTAAATCGACTAAAATCCTCCAGGATTCACCTCATTACCAGAATTCTTAACCTTCCTGTATATAACAAGATGGAATCGTAATAGCTTATACTGCTCGTTTGGAGTAATTATTTATTGTATTTTTTATTCAAGAACATAAGAGTCTATTAGTAGAATAAAACGAAAGATTCATAAGTATTTTACTACTCATTGACAATCATTTACATAATTCTGTACTTACTGCATTTCAAATTCCAAGATTAGTTAACATATCATTCCATCTGATGATGTCTGATTGTTCGATTAAATTCATGTGACACGGATCTTTAATCTCTAATGGCAAACAAAACGGTATGTAAAATATAACGAATCATAAAATTCTTATTCAGTTTCAACGAAGAGAAATTAACGTCTTAATAAAAGAACTACTTAGGAGATGCATTTACCATTTATGCGCACCCACTGAAGACATAAGTTCCCATCCAGCAAATGATCCTCTCGAACATGTAAACGAATCAACATCCGTATACTAAACAAAATATCGTTCAAGCTTTCAACAGTTCATTGCGTAATTTCACTGGTGGCGCACAATCAGCTTCCGCGAAAATACGAAGGTGAATCATAGTTCATCATAATCAACCATCGATAATTGAACATCAAACATTTTTCCTACGTAGCAGGTGAAGTCGAACGGCGTATAATTGTCACTGTTTGGCCAGGATTGACGTGAGTATGGGTCTTGGTCAACGTCACGTTGCACCCCCATTTGGTAGACACCTGTTAAAAAAAACATGTACTCGAGGATGCATCGATGTTTCTGGTTTACCAGGTCAGTTATCACTTACATTGAACGTCACTGTACGATTAGCGTGCTTCCCTTTGACGTCATTGTTTCGTATAAATGCTGCAAGGATGCTTTGCTGGGACACAAACCTACCACGGAGCTGTTTCAAGCAGATTTAGTGACTTTTCATAAACCACAAGCTATTTAGTACGAGTTTGAGCGTTGTACCCTTTTTTGTTTTTCTTTGAGAGATAACTTGACGCTTTGCTGATAATTCTTAAAGTAAAGTTATTGAGAGGGTGTTTGAAGCTTGAAGATTAGAACGTCGATTTTGGACTTGAAGGAAGACTTTCTCTGAAGCAATAAGATGGTAAGATCATCACATATAATATTCATATATAATATTTCAATAAAAGGAAGTGTAGTTGAAATAGATTATAAAAGAAAATTTGAGCAATTATATATGAGAAATCACATATTTTAACCGTACAAGTAACGTGTTTTAGAGAGTATACAAAAATTAAGAAAAGAACAGAAAATTTTCCTTTTAAAGGTATTTCAAAATTCTGAAATTGTCACAGAATATTTCCCAAATAATATTCGATTCAAAAACAGTAAAAATAATAAAATCCTACGTTTCTTTCAGAAAGCCATCGTAATCGTCTCCTTCCTGCTTCTCAACTGCTGTGTTGCACTTCCGTTGAATCTGGAAGACAATTCCACTCCACTTGTCAGTATTCCAATTTTACTCCAGGAATCAACCGGTTATGAAAGCAAACGGAATGACTTACCTCTAGTAAGATACGCACTTCTCTTGAGTAAATTGGATGGGTCAGAGGAAAATTTTGATGGCAGCTTGGTCGAGAAACGCAGCGTGAAAGAAAAGGACCAGGAAGATCTCGAAACTGCGGCTGGCACTTATGCTCTTCGACCACTGTTCGTTTATCGACAACAGTTGGCATACAGACAGCGAATCAGGGATGCTGGTCGTCGAGGAAGTCGCTTCTGAGCCACATTAATGGAATTGATTATGTTGTTGACAACCTGACAAGCAAAAGGACATCGATTGGAAACTAGAGAGATGCACACAACTTAAATTTTATGGATGGAAAGCGCCTGTAACGGTTAGACGTTGGATATTTATGAGAATTTATGATTGTAGAGAAAAATCTAAGCTTTTTTGTGAATTGAGAAGAAGGATCTTCTTCTCAAGATCCTTCAGAGGAATCTTCAATCTTCAGAGGAATTTTTATAGAAAAAATCAACAAAATTTTGGAGATGCAGTGGAAAAAGATAAAAAATAACTAAATTTTGAGATTAAAAAGAATCTGATAAGACGTAAAGTTGTCAGAGTGATAAAATAAGAAAAGTTTATGATTCTTGAAGAAGATTCAACTGTTGTTCAATTTTCGAAGATGAACTTCGTCGTATATTCTTTCTACCATGAAGAAACGTAGTAAAATATCTTCGTAAGGTATGAAAATCATCAAAGGAGGAAGTAGATCGGTCTACAAAAAGGCGGCTTTGTGAACTCGTTAATGGAAGAGTATAAATAGTAGAACTGTTAATTCAGTGAGCAAACGGTTCACGTGATAAATGGCAGCATCGGTCTACAAGAAAACAAGAGCATATTTAATAAATTTCTACTCATCTAGTTGATCCGTCTAACTTATGTTCTATAATAGGGTACACGATTTAGAAGTATTATTTTATAAGATAAAACCTTAGTTTGTAATATTATATAAAAAAATTAATTAACATTATAATGTAATACTCTAATTATAAGGAAAAGCTACCCACCAAAGCAAACAGTACAGATATGTATTTAAAGCTACGTTGTTAAGTATACTATCTATAATATTGTTAATTAACTATTTTTATAATATTTTTTGTGTACTCTTACCCAATAAATTTTGTATGATAACTTAATACTTGATAAACTTTCTTGTCTCTTTTATACAGTCTTATATTACAAATAACTATAAATCACAAATATTTTCAATTGTCAAAATATCTCTTGATAAAGATACTATTTTCCAAGAAATATGGGAATCTTTATAAAGTTACTATATCTTTATTAAGTTAGATGAATATTTATTAATTTTCTTCTTTATCAATAATTTGTCTCAATTTTCAGTTTACAAATTTGTATGCTTCTTTGCACCACGTTGCTGAAGATGATCTACTTCCTTTCAAAGAAGTTGATGGTCTTTTTATAGATATTACAGAACTTAAGTCCATTATACGTTTCAACCATTTCACGTTGTTTCATCGTCACTTCTAGTTAAATAAAAATTATGAATCATCTCATTTAAATTAGTTGTAGTTGCAGACGGTATTAAAAATGTTTTTACTTGTGAATTACTGCATTCACGTAGCTGAAGAATTTTTAACAAACAAGTCAGAGCATAGAAATAAATAGAATATTTCATTCTTTTCATCGTCACTGATGAGGAATGTAAAATGTCTATGTTTTTAATATTGCTTGATATTAACTTTTAATTTGATAATAACGACATAAGCTGCTCCAATACCAAATACCAGTAAGAGACTAAAAAGCTAGAAAGTGGTATTCACTCTTTTATAGTCAGCTATATAGAAACTATATAGCTCCTGAAGTGGTCGCTAAACATTTCGTGTTGTTATTAACGATACACTAACTACGAAATTAGTGCTGTAAGTATCCTGATGATCCAAAATAATGTTCACACAGACAATATTCTATTGTAGAAAAGAATAAATACACAAATTCTCAAGTTTTCTGAAAAAGAAAGGAGAAATAACAGTAAACAGTAATATAAGACATAAATAATATTGTATTAGAATTATTATGTAATCACGAATTTTATGTATTGTATAGTAAATAAAGAAGATATTTCATTCGACTAGTATTACGATTTATTTTCTTAATTTATTATAGTTTAGTTCGAATAGAGAAAAATGAAAATAACTTCATTATTCATTTTTGAGTAATGAAAATTAACGTTGAAGATCAAGGAGAAATAGACGTAAAATTGAAGTCGAGGTGACAGGTTCAAGGTGCAACTGGCCAAAGTGATGTACCGCAAGTGATACTCACGTCTGTTAGCAGGACAACGATAATTCTTTTGGTACCTGGTATAAAACGCGAACGAACCGTTATTGCTAGTTAGAGTCAAAAAGACATTGCTCAAGTTTTCGTCAGGAGCAAGAAAATTCTGCGAGCTTGAAAGAAGACCCAAGAAGACTTCACGAGAAGAACAACGAAGCATAAAATGGTACCACAATGGGGTATAACTACTAACATTAAACTTAAAGTACATATATAGATTTAATAAATAGTAAAACACTATGCAACGTTTTTGAATGAAGGTTTCTGAAATATAAAATATTAATTTTTGAACATTGAAATTTAACTCGTAATAAAATAAAGTGCCAAAATAAATAGTGAATACTATGTGTTAAAACTTAAATGACGTGTTTTAAGTATTGTCTGACGAAGTGTTGCAATATTGCGTAATATATGTTAAATTGCGACATGATTGGCTATACTGTGTATTCATGAATTCCACTTTCCAATATTTTTCTGAAAGAATAAATAATTTGGTAGATAATTTAAACATCATAGTACAATTGAAATTTTAATTATTTTAATTAATTTACTGTTAATTTAGTATTTTTATGCTTTTTAGGTAATCACGTTAAAATTTACTTTTTGTTTGGCTTTGATCCTTTATGGAAAAGATTCAATGGGAAAACCTTTAACACCAGAAGATGTGGAGGGCTTGCTTTCACCAATTCCGCGTGATAAGAACGAAACAATAGCTGCAATTGTTCAGGATCCAGTTGTCCAAGATGCTGTACACCACGCAGTCAGCAATGGATCTCTAAATGGATTGGTCGTTAAAAAGAACGTTTACATAATGCCAGCTACCAATCCCAATCTGGTTTGTAAGAAAAGGACATTGTCTCTGAAGTAGAAATTATTATATGAAATATAATTTTGATCATTATAGAATTTAAGTTCTTTTAAACTTTTGTTATAATATTCGTATTATTTAGAATTCTTGTTGTACTGATTTCGTATTATTTTTTATTCAAGATACTTTCCAAACGGGAACATCTTCTTGTTGTTCCCACTGAAAACTTGAAAGACGTACGAAAAAATATTACAGAGACCAAGGAAGCAGAGGCTGAACAATCCTTCTTGCTAGAAAACCAAACATTCTTCAAAGACAACGCAAGTGAATATACGCCAGAGGTAAGTAGATGATAATAATTCAATATAGACATTCCATCTAATCAGATCTTCACTGAGATAGAACACGGTGAAGCGTGTCAAGTTGATCATGATAAAAACACAATCAATTATTTACATAAATCTGTAGTTTCTTATCCATCCTTGTTAAAATAAAAGTGTATTTCAGCGACAAATCAGCTTATTTGTATTCAATTAAAATTCTGGAAATTTACATGTTACGTTTTTCTATGATAAACTTCTTTCTATGATAAAAAAATTAAATAACTTTATATAAACTTGGTCTTCTTGACAGTGAACGTAACGATTCTTTCTCTAAAAAAAAAAAATTAATCCTTAACAAAAATATCGTTGAGATAACTTTGTTAATTAATAATCTATTAATAATTGATATAATCAATTTCTTATGTCCTTTGATTTTTAGGGAAACGAAAGCAGATCAGAAGAAAACCAAAATGAGTCATTCTCGGAACAGAAAATGAACCAATCGATGGCATCGAATGAGAAACGCAGAAGCGAAACTAAATTTTTAGAAGATACTCTTAGTCATGGAGTTGCGTTGTCGGAAGACTCAGCTTCGAAGAAGGTGGCTGTTCCCATTGTCGCGGTCATCAATCCCTCGAACGCTGAAAAGGGCAAAGTATATAGCCCTATCGTAGCCATTCTGCCTAACCAAGTTAAAAATGACGAATTAAATAACCAAGTGCAGTTCTTGAAAGATAATAGCGATAAGATTCAGAAAAAAGCCCAGGATTATATTGATCAGAGTTCGTTGACAATCGACCCAGATTATTGGAAATCTTTTACGCCATCGAAGGTAAATTTTAGGAGAACGTATCTGTGAAACAAAGTTGGAAAAATATTATATCATTACATTATAAATATTATAGTAATTACGAAATAAATAGAAAGGTTTTTCTTGTAATTACATAGGTTCCTTCAATACAAAACGAAGGAGAAAAAATTTAACATAATTTGATCAACGAAAACAAATTTTTTCTCCATTTTCAGATTATAGTTTCATCACCAACAAATGTAAATGCTCCAGTCTCGATGTATTCGGATCAAGAAACTTCAAGCTTGGTCACGAAAGAAATGCTTCTGACGCCAATAATGGTGCCACAGTGGGAAATGTTAGTGCCATCTCTGCAGGATGACCAAATGGATTACTCACGAGAAACAGGTGACATGGATGTAGCTGAAGATATTATATTTAGGCCTTTGTTTAGATATCGGCAGGAAACGCAGCAGCGGTCTAAATATTATGATGAAAACAACCGACGATACAGTTACACACCGTATCGCGGTTATGAAAATTATTATCCGAGACGGTCTTATTTTTACAGACCTCGATACGATGATTATTAAAAATGAAGAAGATTAAGATGAGCAGAGGGAGAAAGAGAAGTACAACTTACGCTTGGATAGATGGAAAAGAAGACATTTTAATGTAATATCCTTATTATGCGATTGCTTATCGCTTTATGAATTTGTATTTGAATAGACAATAAAGTTTTGTTTCGACTTAATTTACTTGTACTATAAAAGAATCGTTTCGTTTGAAGAAAACATATTTTCCATTGAGTGTTTAAAATTGTATGTTTTACCTTTGAAATTTTGTATTGAAAAAATGAAAAACTGAGCGAGTTTTACTGTAAAGAAAAAAATATTTTTTAACAGAATCGTTCATACTATTGAAAAATTAGACAGCATCAATAGCAATGCTGTGAAAGTTACCTGTAAGGCTATAAGGATGACTGGAATGTTATAAACGATGACAAGGTTGTCAAGAATGAAGACCTCAATGACATTGTCGGTATTTCCGAGCGATTTACCATTGTTTACTTTCTTGAACTCACGTCTCAAAGTCTTCCTACTTAGAATATACATTTCTTCATAGAAAGTAAATTAAACGTCGCTATATTCTTGGAAAATCAGTCAGATTTACATTCACGATTAAAAAATTCGCGATAATTCCCAACTTCAAACGTTAATATTAACTGATACTGGCATTTGACCTTAATCTTTAATAAAAGAAAGGACGAAGTTGTCACATGTATACATTTCTTACGCACATTTACCGTATTATGTGTGTATGCCTATGAGTATGTATTTCTTCAATAAAATTGACATGTCTTCGAAGAAACTCGAAATATGATAAGCAACAATCACAAATGAAGTAATCACAATGATTAATATTTTACGTGGTTATAAATAATGCAGTAATTTTAGGGTAACATTCCGTACCACATAACCTAAAAGAACGAGAACATTTTTTCGATCAAATAATACTCGAATTCCAGTTTACCAAGAAATTAACTGTTTATGGTTGAGCGTGTTCCACAAACGTGTAAAAACCAGTTTTCTACGAATGAATTCCGCTATCATCATAGATTTTAATTAATGCAACACGTTACTGCCTATAGGCAAAATAATTAGTCATTCATATCTTCCGTGATCCATTCACTAAAGATGTCAAACAGATGTGCGATAAGGGTGTAAACCAAACATATCCAAGTTACAGCTTATTATTAGATTTCTTTCATACTGCTTGCATTACCACGGAAAAACTGCTCGCGTCAGTCGCAGCTAGAACATACGATGCGCGCGCAGTATGAAAAATGCCCGCCAATATTCATACATTGTCAATACAAGTGAATATATCTATTAGGTTATGATTCCAATGTGTAATATATTCATGTAAATTTGAGCTTATATCTAATTATTATACTATTATACGTGAACTTAGATTTAACGAGTGTACTTTAGGTATAATCAAATTCTTAATTAAAATATGACTATTTTTTGAAAATATGGAAGAAAAAGAGAAATAGGCCTTATTTAAAATATCACATGTGGATGAGCCTAAATGTTTAACGACTACTGAGTACACGTTTAACACCTGTGGAACATGTGCTGACTGGATTGGAAAGAATGTTGGCAAAATTCTTTGTACCAATGCGTAAGATAAATGGAGTTTCAGAGAATATTCAAGATGTGAAATTTAAGGGTATTTTTTAACATTTATGAAACAGTATGATAAGGGATAATTCTTCAAGAATGAAAATTACGAAAATAAATTAAAAAATATGAAATAATATTTGGAAAATTCTACTGATTTCGTTGATTCTTGATAAAAGAACTTGGTTAAAGGATATAATTTTATGAATATTTTCGATATTGTAAATTTATAGCAGGTATTTAATTAATTTTTTTTTTCTCCGTTTCAAGGGCGATATTTAACTGATTTGTTTTACTGCTATAGGAACTATCGGTAGTGGTCACAAGAAAAAGCTGCGGTTTCTTTCTCGAGGGGCATATGTGAATATGGTTCAAATGGTAAACATAAATTTCTAATATTTGATATACTCACCTCATCATTTCTCTTTTCAATTAAATAATCTAGAGAGTAATTATTGTTACAGATCCTCAATCCTAAAATATAAAAGGGCATAGAAAAATGCTAATATAAATATAAAATAATGCTGTAATAATTCTATAAGAATTTACACAATTTTTCACTCATTCAAAGAACGCTACAATGCTCTATGGAAGAGGCAAATTCGAAAAAAGTTACAAACGATCCCGCTATCGTATTACGCGGAATGAAAGATCGGTTAAAAAGGTCAAGCTAAAAAAACATTCAAGGTATTCGAGCTTTCGCGTCGAAAGCCAGTTTGAAAGGATAAAAGAGGCAAGACGACCCTCTTTACCTTCCTTTTTTCTGAGGATCAGGCGCGAAGGTGACTCACTTCTAAACTAGAAGCTTCGACTACATCTTCCTCTCTCTGTGTATGGCGAGTGTGGCAGCAGCTTAATCGCGTTCCTCGAGATCGCAAACGCGCTACGTATATAACCGATGCTCGGTCAATCTGTTTCCTCAATCGCGATCTATGTGTCGCCGGGAACAGAAACCTCTGTTCTGACTTTCGTTATCTCGCCGAAGATATTGGAACTTACGTGATGAGAATTGTACTCACGGTAAGGGAGAGTTTGTTAATATAACTTTAACTTAACATTTAACAATGTTTTGATACCAACTAAACGAATTATACGATTAACACAACAATGTGTCATATAAATTTCATTAATAATAATTTCATTTTATAACAATTTGATAGTAATTTCGGTAACAATAATATTACTAATCATGAAGAAATTACAGAATCTTGCGATAAGTTCTGCTAGTAGTATATTAATCTTTTTATAAAAATATTGTACAAATGTTAATGAAATTTATTCACTAAGAGACATTAGAAACAAAGTAGATTATGTAACTAATGCGACACAGGAAGTGTTTAATCTCTACTAAGTTCGATAACGATTATCTTCAAACCGCAATATATACGCTTTTCTTAATATAATTAAAAGTAATTTAAGAATTACCGACGTCGAATTTTAATTTATTCTTTCTTTCTTGAATTTTTGTATAGCTTCTTTGCTTGGCAGCAGCTCTGCAATGCATTGGTGTCAATGCTGAAAGATCATTGAACACGGAGTCCTCCCTAGAACGGTCTGATTTTACTGTGGAGGAATCAAAGAGCGTAGAAAATTCTCCAGTCAGGTTTCCAAGAAAATTCCGAGAAAACAGTCGTACCAGAAGGTTGCATATAGAAAATCAACATGGATTCGATGGCAAAGTAGAAAAAATTCATATTAGTTCTGAAGAAGATCTTCCTGGAGTTATGGCGTATGGAATGCAGAAGAAAAATTTGGCAAACAATGGCTATATCGAAAAGGCTCCACAAGAGAAAACCATAGAAGAAAGTGAAGAAGATACTTCAAGGGTTGCTCGTTCGGTATGCGATTTATAAGAATTTTGCGAATTATTATTAGAATATTAAAACAGCTCATCATGACAAGTTTTGTGTCATTTAGAATATCCAAATATACTTTCTTAAATCTCTTTGGAAGAGAAAAATTTTATAAAAAATATTTAATAAACTAGTTTACTACTTATCAAAACTCTTGTTACCAATTATCAAAGGACTGATTATCCAACTTTTATTAAAAAACAATACAACAATTTTAGATCGAAGCTTACGGAAAATCCAAAGAACAACTCGAAATGAATGGCCATATCGAAAGAAAATACGATCCGAAATCTCTGTCCAATCAACATCCTACGAGAAATGTAAGAGACAGAGAAACGAGGTCCATCGAAGCAGAAGTAAAGCAAGACGATCTGACGCATGACCTGGAAGCCCAAGATGCCAAAGTCTTCAGACCACTGTTCGTGTACAGACAGCAAGTGGCTAAAAGAGAGCATCGAGCAAAAAATTACATCCATGGTTTACCGACTGGTTACAAATCTTGGCACAACCCAGGATGGGTTTTCTGAAAGCCTTTTCCTCGATATATTCATTTTTTTAATCTCCTGAAACAACATCAAAACGCAACAAATCAACAATCGACTGTTTTACGAAAGATATGTAAACAAGAAATCAGCCATAGTGTTTGCATTATGGATCCTTGGAGCCGACTAATTATCATAATAATTAACCGATCGAGTCAGCGTCACTTTGTGCCATAAAAGAAGAAAGCGGTTCTTGAGGACTAGCGATGGAAACGAGTTATTATAATGATCGAAAGCGCGATAAGTGTGACGATAAGAGTTGCTGTCGAAATACCAAATAGTATTATGATTAGTGTGTGATGATATCTATAATTTGTGTAATTACATAATGATTAATCATTGATATTTACGACATTATAATTTAAGATTTTGATACTTTATTACGCTACACGTTACAGGGAAAATAAATTCGATTACACATTTCCAATTTATGTAATTAGATAATAATTAAATGATCGATATGCAGGAACAAATTATAATCGATGTAATTGTTTGAAATTTGTATTATGTGTAATTCTCGTAAAGAAGTGATCGAAATTTAATTACGAGTTTCTGAATTCACATAATGACATGAAAAGTAAAAGATAGATATGTACGATGGAATTGCAGCCAATTAATGTAATTATTCGAAATTTAATATTTTTTGATAATGCATATGTAATGTAATTGTCGAGAAACGAAATAATTGAAATTCTGTTACCAGCTTTTTTAACTAGCTTTTAGACAATTTTTGTTCACCTTATGAATGAAAGATGAATGAAAACAGATGAAAAATAGTGACATTCCCTTTGCCTGATTATATTTGCATCGTGCAATTTGTCCAATTTGACAAATTTAGAATGAAATATAGGGATCAGATGGTCGATATTGGCTGGATTTTACCGAGAAATAATTATTTCTCGAGGAACTTCCTTGAATTTCATTTACCCGAATATTGTTCATCATGTGTGATACAAGGAGGACAATTACAGCATTAACCACTAAAAGTCAAACAAATAACAGGAGCAACTACGAAATAATCGAAGTAAAGGAACAAGAAAAAGATGAAAAAAAAACAGGGAATAGGTACTTAATAATTCGCAATACCACGATATGAAGTATACAATAATAAAATATGTATATCATTTCAGACGAAGACTACGTAGGAAATCTTTGGTTCTTCATTCAGCATCGTTAATCGTATTACACATATTGGACGCAGTGCTTCTAATCATTCTCCTACCGTTCATCATCTGGCAATGGATTTCTGCCAACGATCGTTTGAAGGTTGTTCTGAAAGCAGTCGTAGAAGTAAACCTCCTCTCATGTACTAAATAAGCAAATATTCTATGCACATCTGAGCACCAATATTGATCTGTATGCATCAAACCTTATACAGAATCTTTCTGTTTTCTTTGAAATCACGAAAGAAAAGTAAACCCTAGTTACGAATCATCACGAATTATTAGATACATTTACATCATTGGATTGCTTTTTATTGTTTCAACTATGCACGTTGAAATTTCGGAAACTAATCGTTTGAATACCTTTGCAATTCGCTCAGGTCACGCTGGAATTAATTATGTGGTTGATCTTTGCCGGAGTGTCCATTCTTATGACCACAACGTTCGTTCTGGATGACATTTACCACGGAAAAAGTTGCTATGAAAAAGCTAGACAAACGAACACTGGGAATGAACCAACGAGCAGCAGAAAAACGCCGAGTTCTTCCAAAAGCCAAGACAATTTGTGTACTCCTGAAAACTGAGACCCACTTACTCTATAATATGCGTTCTTTCATATTTTCCATCGATTTCTGAGACATATATTTTTAGTGGAATTTCTTATAACTACCTTTTTAGAAAAATACAGTTTTTTCGCAAAATGGTAATTTCATTCGAGACCTAGAGAGAGATAAACAGCGGAATTTTTTATTTAAATGGAAATACCTATTCTTCAGATCATCCCATAAGTTCGTATCATGGTGTCATTCACATTTCACGTTTTATAATCATATGGATAATGAAGATGGAATCGTGTGTTTGGAATTTGAAATGGGAGGAAGTCGTAGAACGAAAGAACGACATTCTTTCTTGATATTTAAAGATATGTCTAATTTCAAATAGAAGAGTAGAAAATGTCACGAACTTATAGGATGACTTAAACTTACGAAACATTCTGCAAGCGTTAATGAAAATGCATAAGTTTCGTATTTATAGATTGGGAAGTTCAAATGTATCACACTGATGTATTTACTCGGAAAATAGCTTTGTTGAATCCTCTTCACTTTGTATTGTACATTGCTCAAACGACATAAAAGGGAATACTTCCGCCAGGCTATTCGACCACCGATATCAATCAGGCACTGAAGTCTTAAAAACGTAATTAGGTAATTATTAAATCAACGATGAAGATATTAGACAAGGAATGTGAAAGTTTAGAGTGATGTCTCGAAATTACCCAAAGAAAATGCGGGAAAGCTGGCTCATTATCAGGACTACCCGATGTATATAAAGAGCAAGACCAGTTCTAGGCACCACTTCAGTTTCATCCATGTAAACTATGTTGCCATTAAGCTCAGTCCTCGTCTTCGTAAGTTCTCTGCAAAATTAAAAATTAAATTAATTCTGCGTACTATCATAGTCAATTAGGAGCACGAGGATCGGAAAGAAGAAGTCATTCTGTCATAAGAGACAAAAAGAACCTGCAACATCCTCCAGTCTCTTCTGAAACATATTGATTGTTGCTATAATTATCTTATAATCATTTTTAACTTTACAAACGATTATTTCGGTGTCCAAGGTGCTACAAGTCAATCTTCGATCACGCAAAGTAACTCTTTTTCATATTTCTCAGGCCTTCCTTGCGCTGACGTCATCGCAAAAGTACCCCCTGAAACAGGTCAACCACCTCAGCACCGGAGAGAGACTTTTGAACGACGTACAAGCCCACGACTTGAAGGGATCGGAGATAACAAAAAAGAAGGCCATAATGAACACCGTGAAAGCGATAAGCAGAGCCAAGTACGGTGCACTGAAGGAAGAAAGAAGAAAGAAATCCAATGACATACTGAGCACCGCGGTTGACATCAAATTGGCCAAGCTGGAGGCAATCAGAGCCATCAAGCTCACCATTTTAAACATGATATCCATGCAAATCGACGCTTTGATCGATGAGATTCACAACAACGACGTGATTGATTTATTCGAATCGCCCTTCTTCGACTTCGTCGCAGAAATGTTGGTACCCTTGCTATCAGGAAAGAACAGCGAGAAAGGTGGAACGAACGACGGAAATATCGTTTTCCCTGATTCACAATCCTCTGACGGTGTCTGGTTGCACAAAAATCTGAAAACTTCTATGATTCACGAGGATCTACCAGGAAAATCTACGTTAGCATCAATGGAGCCTTTGTTCGAGGAACCTTTGCCCACGTCATCCTGGGAGTCTGTTCGAAGAGTGTCGAAGTCATGATATTTCAGCGATTTAGCGAAATACCGATAATTCGTTGGAAATTAGGCAAAGCTGAACTTTATCCTTGAAATTTTACTTACCATTTCGCTTAATGCTTGCTTCGTTCTATCGTTTCGAATAATCAAGGAAGAAAATTCAATACCCTTAAGGACTTCAAGGATGCGGGTATCTTGACGACGTTGCTTTCACGGTGCTTTCGTTACCTTCAAATAAACCCAAATATTGCATGCGATGCTACGAAAGATGCACGACAATAATGAAATGCAAAACCCGTAATACCTAAAAATATTAATTAATTTATATAATTAATTTGTATATCATTAACACGAGCTATACGAACTCTAGATAGGTTCAGACAAATTGTACCGTAACGATTACCCTATAACGTAGAAAGAATAAACGTAATATCTCTTTGATCACTTCTCTATCTTCTTTTACTCCCAGATAACACAGATATATATTAATCCTAAGTTGTCCTTCATTGCTAGGTATACCAACTTTTAATGTATGCTTAAAAATATCGGATACATATATAAAAATCAAAGTGACATGACGATAGATACTGCATATAATCATTGATCTACTCAATAAAAGTTAATTTTGCAAGAAGCTACCTGTAATGAAAAGGTCGTCAACAAAGGAAGGTCTGAGAAAGCCATATTGTTAAGTTCTTATTAATGTTCTATACTGAGAATACCTCGAATGGTGTACAATTTACGACTTTTCAAACACTTCTACTCTTATTCTACCAAGACGTTGAAGTTTTCTTAAAACGTGTCCCTGAGTACACAAATTCGTTATTGTTATCTTATTTAATGCTCTTTATATAGAACAGTTTTAATCGACTTGCAAATGCACTTGACTTGCGCCGACCTTTGTCACAATGGTCAACGAAGCACAGTTGGCTCACTGTAAATTACCATATATCCGGGCTTAAAAACGGTTTTTGTTTGCGGCTGTGTCATCATCGTTCAACGGACCTCGTCGCTCGTGAGACACAGAACAATCGGGTGGACTGCGTTTGATTAATAGTATTTGCCGATCCCAAGAGCTGATCCTTCAAAGGTAAGGAGTGTACATAAAAGCGTATGGCCATAAAAGGCATCGATGATGTTTAGACGATTTCGTATCTTCCATTGTTCCTCTAAGCGGTAAATTCGACAAACGTGTATTGGTCTTTGCACAATTTCAACGGTGAATTACATCACATTGTCCTTGGTCGTTGTCCACGCGTACCTCTCGTTCCTTGACACGATAATCCTAAAAAATTACGACGTATGTACTCCTTTGATTAATGGTACACGAAGGTTCGAAATGGAAATGGAACACGTGGAAATAGCCATTTTTGAAATGTCTTTCTGTGCGAATCTTGGTAAGATTGAAACTTTTTCGTTCAATGCTATCACCCTACACGCGAAGCCAGTCACCTAAGGATAGAGAGTGAAATAGTTTCGTGGTTTCGAGATTTATTTTATAAATTAATTAATTTAATTTATATAATTTAATGAAAAATTCCTCGCTATTTAGCGAACGATAAATATCCATTGAAAATAAATTTCAAGGGATTTTGTACATTACTCGTGTATAATTATATAGGCACGAATATCCATGGCCGGATACTTGAGCGATCAACAGGATGCACAGGAACTAGATAACGTACATAAACGCATTAACACTTTGTTGTGGGAACTACATAATTCTCACGGTAAACTGCTATATATGTCTCTTCGAGTAAACTCGTGTTCCAAGTAAAATTTATACTATATTCCGAATCGCCTAGCATTCACGATTTTGTAAGGAAAGGAACATCGATGACTATGAAATGATAGAAAAAAGTGATAACCTGGAGTGATAGGGTGCTTTCGCCATAGTATACGAAGGGCTTGAAAAAGGCGCCATTCGGTGTAATATCGTCAATATTACTTATAATAATATTACTTATATTAATCTTGACGATTCCTTCGTAGCTGGAGATGCAGAATGAACTTATGTGTTTTACGTAGATTGTATAATTTTGGGGAAACTAGTGCAGGCTTCCTGCAATACGTAACGCAATCAACGAAACGCAACATCATTGTATGAATCAGAATTTAACCGACGATACACCTTCGCAACTATATATTCCCAGCCACGGAAATTATTTTTCCTCCTTTTAATAATTGCGGTAATATTTCGGCACCGATATGACACCATATATAACCAAGAGTCTGATGTGTCTCTAGCACATTCGATTACGGGTTCCTGTACACACGTAGTTCAGGTGTAATAGAGGTTAGAATAAAGAAGGAAGACAGTGTTCTATTGTGGGTGTGACAACTTGATACTCTTATCTAATTCATGCTCTTGTGAACGATTTCGATATTGTTTGAACTTTTTTGAAGCAAATTAATCAATTTTTGGTATTCAGGAGATGAAGTCAATTATCACGATATGCTTCATACTGGCGGTGGCTAATGCCAACCCTTTCTGGAGAAATGGAAAGGAATGGCCGAAACATCACCATCCGCCAGGACACTGGTTCCCACCTGAAGATACACCTATGCCAAAATGCCTGCCATTCCAGCCCCCAGAACATTTCTCATTGAAACTGGAACCGTTGCTAGAAACTCTGTTTTCGTTCAAAGCTAATCAGAAGAATAGTCCTATGCAGAGTTGCGCTGCTGTGTGGGTCTGTCGCAAACCGGAGACAAATGACATCGTAAGTTGCTATATTGCATTATATTAGTGGTAAAGACTATTAGAAAGTATCGTGCAACGATTTCCTTTATTAGTATGCAGGGTGTCCCAGCAACGGTAGTACAACTGCAAGTGGGTGATCCTACGTGAAAAAGCAAATCGAAAATAAAGAATAAAATTTTTTCATTCGAAGCTTCGTTGTCGAGAAAATCGACGTTAAATATTCACCGAGTACGCGTACAATTAACTTTGGCTAAGGCGGATGGACCATTAGTATACCAGCGTCCGCGGTGGATATTCAAATTCGATTTTCTCGACAACGAAGCTTCGAATGGAAAAATTTTATTCTTTATTTTCGATTTGTTTTTTCACGTAGAATCACGCCTTTCCCGGTTGTACTACCGTTGCTGAGACGCCCTGTACATATGATCATCTTTTTAACTTAAAGGATCAAATTTTCTATAGTTTCATTGTCAACACGTAAAACTTGTATTCGGTAAAACAAATATTTTCATTCATAAATCGTTTGTAGATCATTACTGAGATCGATGGAACACAGACGGTAGTTAGCAAACAATCGCCAAACGAAAGTAATGGCCAAATGAGTTCTACAGAAACGAATACTATGTCCTACACTACGCCAGAAGTAGAAACTGAAGTTAACAACACTGCAGGAGTGGGACTTCTGGATATTCGATCAAGTGCACAATAACTGAATGGTAAAAGACAATGAATTCGAGGAGAATTATGCTTGAGAATTTGACTTTTCTTGATGAATAGGAGAGTAGCGATACAAATAGCTATGACGCAATAATGTTAATATTTTTAATATGAAAATATTTTCATTTTTATATATCTTCTTATTTTTGTAATTAACAATTTTTAATCCAGTTATTAATAAAATTGAAGTTGTGTATATGTAATACGGTATTTTAGATTTTTTATTTAATTTATAGAAAATAAACGTTTGGCACAGAAAAGAAAAAAGTACAACATGCCTATACGCGACTAATTTCTATTTTCAAATTCTATTATCAATCGCAGAAAGTGAGTAATTTGTTCATTTTCACGGCCTAAGCTACTATGCGTTGCATGAGAGAAGCCATCTCGTTCGGTTGCGGTGTAAGAGGGGTTGCTCTTACCACTTGAGCAACCACTTGCTCCGCTTGTACTCTTGTTAGTAATACCCACTCTTCTATGACACTCCCAAAACTACTATCTCCAAATTCGGTAACGTGATACGTTAACATAGGTGTAAGATATCCGCGAAAGAAATGTTATCTCAGAGTTAACTTACAATGTGTTGGAAGCACTACTACGCTTTGTAATGAGTCTACGTTCTTGTATCCATTTATTGCGTCTATCTCACTTGGTCTCGTTGCTTCGTTCGCTTTCTTTGTGACATGGTGTTCTATGACCGGGCTAATAGGAAGGGATCAGTTCTGCCAATAAGGGAAGCGTTTTACTCTACTTCTGCCATGATGTTAGAATGGTTGGGCTGGTGGGTATTCGGTCCTATAAGTTTCTCAGATGACTTCTCTCATGCAACACATAGTACTGTGTCCTTTTCTAACCATCTTCTGTCCTCGTCAATCAAGTCACGTGGTTTTAGACGAGCTCCTCGCACATTCTGTGTTCCTGCTACTAAACTCGAGCTTCGGATTCAAAATCAAAGATGGCACTGACAGAAGCCCTTAAATTTTCTATCCTTGTCTATCTTATTGAAGGCATTAGGGCTGTATCGACGGGTTCCATTAGAGACATATTAAGTTTATATTTTGAACAGAATATACGTTTTTTATAGATTATAACTGCCAACGCACTTCCAGGAGATAAATTTCCATGATATGTATATGTATGTCAAAATATTTTTATTTTCCATTTTTTTTGGCTGAAGCAAAGTATTACACGAAGAGTAAAAATGTTAGAAGATTTATTCTCGTCTTATAAGTTAGGTGGAAGATTACCTTTTAACAACTTTATATTAAAAAGTTATTCGTTCTAATGTATCGAACAACGAAACGGTTTCAAATTACAAGTGATTCAGAGAAATTTCTTATAATTTTGTGATTAGCATAAAAAAATACATGAAAATATATACATGTTTTGCACATAAAAAGTGAAATCTACTAGACAATGACTTTGATGTCGATTACGTATAACTACGGCCCTGATCGCTTGCGTGTCCTGTCAACATTGATCATCTTAATATTGTTCCTGAATAGTTTCTGCTTCGGAAAAGCCTACAGGTAAAGAATTTTTCTGGAAACTCACATTTTTCGAAAACTGAGAGTAATAGATTAATTTCTATTACAGATTCGTGTTCAGGAAATTAAATTCTACAGGAATTACCCAATGGATATTACAGCTTAGAGAAAATGGTAAAATTTATTGAACAGTGTAATTTATTTAATCTAACTTTTTATATTAATAAAATTTTTTCAAATGTTGGTATGAATGATATGATAATTCAGTATGCTGTTGGTAGACGTGAAGAAAGAGAAAGGCGTTGACGAACGAATGTTGCATATGGTGTCTGTTACAAGCAAGTGTGGAAGGATTGAGTTAAGAAAGTAAAAATTATAATTAGAAATTTTAAATTCAAGTCTGATATAGCAATTTGTATATTTATATTCAAAACGATTTACAAGCTATTCATTTTTATTTATATTCTTACTATATTTACTAACGTTTTCATTCACTATTAAATATCTTATATTACCATTCGTGTCTTGTGCAATACAAAACCACAACCCAATTCCCATCACTAAGGATAGTACATTTTCATATATATGGGCAATTATATTAATGCTTTATTGTATAAGTTGTAAATAATATCATTATAAGTTTAATGAAAATATATTTAAATATTTGTAACTATTTTGTTTTATTAATTCCATACATATCATTATTTTTAAACGCAGTTGATAATACATTTTAATAGAGGTCGCTCTAATAAGAATGTGAAACTATGTCACGCTATATTCGTATCTGAATCAACATAACCTTAAATAGTGCCTTGATATTCTACTGTTGGTAAATGAACTAATATGGTATGTTGAGAAAGTGTTATGTGGTATATTATTAACAATTGATTTGAAAAATTCGTGCTGATTGACCAAAATCCTAGAATTTTCAATAGATTTTTTAAAAATTAATCGTCTCAATATTTAGTTTAATAAATTAAATTGTAGTTGTGCAATGATAAAAAGAGAAAAGAGAGGAGGAAAGAAAAAAGGAAAAGTAAGTATATTTCGTTTGGATCCTGCTAGCGGACTTATTGTTGAAACTTTCTAAAAACTGATGTCCTGAATGCTAGAATGGTGAGGGATGGTTAATAAAAACTTTCGAGAATTGTGTTTGGTGTGCATCCCTCTGGTGGCAAGTATAGGAGGGCCGCCACAACATTAATACGTGACCTCACCCGTCTTTGTGTGGTTATGTCCGGTGATTCATAGATATCATTTGTAATATTACACATTTTTACGAACGATATCGGATGTAAATTTATCGAATTTGTCGTGAAAATTGATTACAAAATGACAGAAGTTCATAACTTAGGTGTTGATGCTATTAGCTGTCATGCTTGGAATAAAGACAGAAAAGGTTTGACTTTTGTTTGATGCAACACAGTTCTTTTGCCAATCAATTTGCAAATCAATTTGCCAAGTAGTTTCATTGTATTTTTGCAGAAGTAGCAATCTGTCCAAATAATAGTGAAATTCAAGTTCACAAACGTACGTCAAGTGGTTGGAAATTATTACAGAATTTGCAAGAACATGACATGCATGTCTTGGGTATTGATTGGGCACCAAATACTAATCGAATAGTAACATGTTCTGCAGACAAAAATGCATATGTTTGGACACAAGAGGGAGATGGAAAGTGGAATCCTGCATGGGTGCTTTTAAGAATAAACCGAGCAGCAACATGTGTGAAATGGTCTCCACTAGGTATGATAATGCTCTAATCCAGTTCTGTTACGAAATTATATTTGAATAAATGTACATTGAGAAAACATTCACTTCTTTTTTTATAGAAAATAAATTTGCTGTTGGATCTGGAGGTAGAGTAATAGCTGTTTGTTATTTTGTATCCGAGAATAATTGGTGGCAGTGTAAGCATATAAAACGCCCATTAAGATCCACTGTAACTACAGTTGATTGGCATCCAGATAATAAAGTTTTGGTTGCTGGATCCACTGACTATAAAGTTCGTGTATTTAGTGCATTCATTAGTGATATAGAAGATGCACCTGGTAATGGACCATGGGGTCATAGTAATACTTTAGGAACATTACTTGCTGAGTTTCAAAATACTCCCAATGGAGGTAGAGAGAAATATCTTTGTGTTAACAAAATTTAACAAATATCTTTTTGTTATCTGTATTAATCATTTTCTTTTTATGTCTAGGAGGTTGGATACACTCTGTTGCATTTAGTCCTTGTGGTAATAAAATTTGTTGGGTAGCACACAATTCATCAATTTGCATTGCAGATGCTACCAAAGGAAATACAGTTACACGATTATATACAGAGCATTTACCATTTTTAAGTTGTGTTTGGATGGGATCCAATTCTATTATTGTTGTGGTATTTATACATATTTTTTACTGTATTCAATAATTTTTATCCCATGTATATAAATGACAAATACTAATACATAAAATTTGGTTGGTTTTTTAGGGACATAGTTGCATGCCTATGCTTTATTCAATAGATGACAATGGTCAACTATATTTTGTATCAAAATTAGACAACACACAGAAAAAAGAGGCCGCCGGGTTATCTGCTATGCGTAAATTCCAATCATTAGATCGCCAAGCGAGGACTGACACTAATGACAACGCCTTGGATAGTATACATCAAAATACCATCAATTGTGTACGCAAAGTATCGACTAACGAATTTAGTACGAGCGGTTTAGACGGTCAGTTGGTAGTTTGGGATCTTAAGGTAAATTGTAATATTTAATATACAGTATTTCTCCTACATTCGTAGTCAATATCAACATATAATCATATTATGATTTTTTGATTTAGCTCCTGGAAAATTCCATTGCTGGTCTCAAGATAGCATAAGTGAAATTTTTTTATATCAGAAGAAGACAGAAGATATTACATCAGATGAAAAATGTATAAATGTTAAATCTATAACTAAAAGACAGAAATATACAATTTCTCATTAATTCTTTAATTATATTGTTAATCCCTCCTGCATAAAATATATTTTTAATTAAATACACGTCAGCCCATGTGTAAAATGATTTACCTGTCTTGCATGCGTATGTCTAATAATTCAAAGTCTTTCTATTGGAATTGCATTTGCTATATTTATATATCTTTTCTTTCTATGTTGATATACGTGTTGCGATTAACACGATACTTATCTCGATTGGCGAGTGGTTTGCATAGTTTCAGGCGTCGCGGCAAATACGACGGTTCACTGTTCGTCAGGCGTAAAAGGTTGATTCCGCGCCTGGAAACTACACGGTCTCATGTGAATCGAGTGGGGGGGGCAGCCGGACAAGTTCAGCACGAATATCGATTCAGTCTCGCACAAACCACCCCCATGTACCGTGCCCGTTGCAGTAGCTCCACCTTTTAACTTTGTTTTCCATTCTGTGTCATGACTGACACATAAACAGAGAGGAGCATCGCGGTAAAAAGAGTGTATGCATGGTGCACACCGTGTTTCACAAACAGAACGGATACTACAGTGACGCGTTTTATTATTTTAGCAGCTTTAAAGGGGATATATTAAACGTGAAGAACCGAGATTGTTATTGATAGAAACGTCTTTGCCGATGATGCTTATCGATTTGAAAACTAATCTTAAAAAGACATTATATTGTTCGTACAGTTTATAGTGAGGTGCTTAAGTTTATTACATAAACTGAATTAATAACCAGGAGACGTGATACTTTACTTATCTTATACGAAGAATGATAATTATCGAATGTGTACTTGTATCTTATTTCGCAACGTAGCTTCAGCGTTGTCTTTTTTGTTCACTTCTTTCCCCTATCCTTCATTCTGGGCATTCGCCTCCTTTTGCTTTTCTGTTACATTTTTCGTCAAATGATTCGAGTGGCTGTCACAGGCTGTCTATTAAAATAGATCCTTCCAGTAAAACGTTTCATCATCGATTCGTCGTGTGCTACGTGTTCTCTCGAAGGGTTGCGTTTCGTTTTTCTCGACCACGCGCGTTGATACAGCCGTTGATAAATTTAGAAAGTTGTTGAGAGTTATAATCGAACGTTTTTCATGGAATTAACGATTGACCTTATGTGCCTGGGGATCTCGTGATTGTCGCGGACGTGGCTGAAAATTACGAACGCAAGAGAAAGAAGAGAAACCGTGCAAATTTGGAAGATTGAGTTTTGTTCGCGTGTCTGTCGAATATGAAACACTTCAACTACGGCCACACGCATTCCTATTCATCTTGACTACGAATCGTGGGTGAACAAAGGAAGTGCGCCTCCGCTTCTTGAGAGATGTCTTCGATATCAGCGCAGGGGGTCGTCGAAAGAGCCAGCGCCGAATTGACCAAGAGAATCAACGGTCTGGGGCTGAGAGCGTCTAAACATCATGGTTGGTAAATTACTAATTAGTATATTTTGTTTCTCTGTAACATAGAATATAGGAATATCAAGAAATATACTACAGAAGTATTAAGTATTTAACTTTAGTCATCTTATCAAATGAGTCAATTTAAAATTGAAAACAAAAACTGATTAACTTGAAAAAATGTAAATTTTTAGTATAATTTTGGAAAATGAAAAATATAATTAGTAATGGTATTCTTGTGCCTTCTATTTTCAATATCGAATAAAAAAAGAAATGTACGAAAAACAGAGTCACAGAAAATTCAATATATTAACATTTCTGCTAAATGTAAGTATGATATCCAAATGAAAGTATCATATCACATACAGAGTTTTTAAGCCATCGAGGGTAGCTTACTGAGCAATAAACTCATTCGAGTAGACCATCCTCTAATTATTTCAAGCACCTCGTAGCCCGTTTTATCCTTCATGCAAATGGCCCTCTTTACTCGAGAATAATTTAAAATCGATAACTTTATTCGAGAATAACTTGGAATCGGCGAGTTTTAATCTAACTTGAAAAATGATGTATAATTATTGAATCCCGATTCTACGCTTTAAAATAAAGCTTCAACTATATGTTATATTATGTAATTTCTTTTTTGTCTTTCTATAACATATCTGTTATTTTAGTACATTCAAATTTTAAATGATTGTCGAATCGGGTCAACCCACAAATTGGACGAGACATCATTACGTAATAGCAATAATGAAATGATTTCCATTAAACTGCAACCCCAAGCCACTCCTTCTACAGAGTTTCTTAATTCTGCATTATGCAACATTGGCTGATTGCTTCCCCGACGTTGTTCTTGTGATTCCCTTCCAAAACGCTCGTTAGAACGGCCACCAGGTGCCTTTAGTCGCACTCTAAACTGCAATGGAATCGATAGCATTCGTCCTCGTGCACGTGGAAACGTAGAAACCGAACTGACCATCCCTTAATCTTTTACCTTCTTCCTCGCATTCGTTATCATTTATTCTTTATTCTCTTCCACCGTCTTCCATTCATTTGAAAAATTCTCCGAAGAAACTAAATAAAATTCATGTTTAATCTTATACAATATTTCATTACAAACATACAAATTTATTCTTAATTTGACTTACGCTTTTTAACATTACATTTTGCTACATTTATCCTATGTGTTTTATATAACCTTACTCTTCCAGTGAACATCACATTTAAAGGTTAAGTACAAAAATACTTGAACGAATCAATTCTATAAAAATATTTCTCAAAACTAATTAAACATTCGCTCAAATCTTAATCAATCTTACCACAATAACCACATAAAAAGTGTGTATTCTATACTCACATTGCGACAAGATACTAAATTTTAAGTATAGCTATATCTACCGATGCAACAATAATACCGACTGTAAGTGATCAACCATTATACGTATTCAATGTGACAACTGAATTTATTTCAATCGTTGTTAATTATCGTTAATTGTTGCCGCGAAAACGTCGCATCGGCTGACGGGACTAGGTCGCCGATTTACAGCCCGGAAATATCGATGAATCGGCGATTCGTCGCGTTTGATGAACGCGAGAGGCCGCGCATTGAGTTTGAATGGGAAACCAAGAGACAAAAGGCCGCGCACGCATGTCGGTTTCGACGATAGAGAAGCCGCGATAAAGTAGGAAATTTATTTTAATGCGTAAAATAACCAATCACCGTGGCTGGATTGCCGCCAACCCCTGTACGACTAATAAAATCGCAGTAGATTGGCCAGGCTTCTTCTCTGACATAATTAATCATTCGTTCTGTGTCGTTGGACTGATCGTCGCCGTTTCTTAAAACGAAGACCCAAATCTAACTTTTTGATTGGATCTCTATGAAATTCAAACACTACAAATGAATAAATTATAATTAGACGACGAATACATAGATTATTCGATTTTCAAAGTACCTGTGCCCTGTTCATTATTATGTTTTATTAAACAAGTTTTATTTATTTATGAAATTAATTCTGTTTTATAATTCTATATTTAGTTTTGGAATGAAGTGGATGTTTTTTTATCTTTTAAAGAAATTTACATTTGTTCGTGAAGGTAAAAGCAGTCATTTATACCAAACTTTGTGATTTTGTAATTTCGAACAAATTTTTTTTCTAAATTTTGCATTATTATGCGTATATTATCAATAAATATTTTTACAACAGAATATTAATGTTCTACATATAAAGAGTTGATCAATACTGGCCATAAATTTGAAGAAAATTATAGAAAATTTATTGGTCCAAAATTAAGAATTCTGACCGTGTTACTATAATTTTATTAACTTTGCAACTTTGAGTATCAATAAAATTAGAATGTCCAATAAATGAATAAATATAAGTTATATCATTGTTTTTAGATAAGTGAATTGGATAGTAGAATAGAAGGTCCTGTTGCAATTTAATCCTTAGTAAATACGATTTGTAATAAAAAGATAGAGACAGGAAATAGGGACGTACCCGGAGCCAAATAGGACATACAGCTCGAAAATAAAACGAAAATAAATGCTGCATCTTCGCAGTGAAGTTACCTTTGCAGAAACGCCTTTAAAGAAACTCTCGCCAATACATACATACCAAGTTTTCTTAAACACTATTCTTTTCAATTTTCAAATCGGTACAGAATCTAGTTTTTTTAATATACATCGTCACAACTTTTAATAAGAGAAAAGAATTTTTTATAATCGTTTTATTTTGTGACAACTGTTTTAATTAGTAGCTAATTATAATTTATTTAAATTTATAAATTATTTAAAAATATTTCACGAATAATCGAAGACTTGTCCATAATCACAACTTTATGCTTAAGATTATATCTATGAATATTAGTAAATCAGTAAATCAGTAATCATTGTCTTTATGTGAGTATAGATAATTCATTCTAGGCTCGGTTTAGACAAAGAATGTAGATGTTCTCATTCATGTAAATACCATTAAGTTTTCTAGTGAACAAATATTCGATTACAACTGTTTATCATCGAAGAGGTAAATATTATTTTACAGGAATTTAAAAAAGCCTTCGGCATCGAGAAGTCTTCTGAAACCTTACATTGAGCTTTATCGCGTCAATATTTCCTCCACGCGACCTAAAACAATTACAATAATACGTTTACAAGTGCTTTGGAAATCATCGAACCGGTTTGAAAATTATTTAATTCTTACCTATTCCTAGACATTCCAAGTATTAACTGTCTACTTGGCTGACTGTTTAATTCATAGTAAAAACCATAATGACAATTGCTTTTCAATAAGTCGCATTAAGTATCAAATAGTGAACAAAAGGAAATACGATGTTTAAATAAACCATGGAATGTTTCAGGTGGGGGAAAGGCGAGCGTCATGGAACGCGTTACGCACGTGTTCTGCGGGAGTGGCGGGGTTCCGTACACGAATTTGCAGAGCGCGAACAATGCGAACGCAACCCCGGAAAAGCCGAGCAGGAGCGTACCAACGTCGATGAGCAACATGCCATCAGCGAACAACAAGAGCCTGAACACGGTCGGCACTCCCAGTAGAGCAAGGATATCGAGAAATCGACCGAAAAATGTGCCACTGGCGAGTGGTGGAACAGGCGGATACGTTGCGCCGGCCACGTGGGATCAGCTGATGGAAGACGATCATTTTCTCAGCAAATTTTTCCTCTACTTTACCGCCATTGAAAGGAGGATTTTGGCACAGGTGCCAGTAATCGAATGATCGTTATTAATTAAACTTACGGCGAATACGTCATCTTTATATCTCTTCTTCGTGTACCAATCTTAAAGAAAAGCAAGCATTTTAGCAGAATATTAAATTGGTGAAGTTACATTAGATATATTAATCAAGTACTTGTCTGACACTTTGTTTACTTACCTTGTTTCTAATATACTTGAATTGCAATGTGACAAAGAATATTTTTGTTTGCTCAATGAAAGTTTCAATTCTATCAAAGTTATTAATTCTATTTGAGGTTAGCAATAACCCACGAAAGATAAAACGTGTTCACTGCCCGGTTTTTGGCATTGATTTGCGATAGTATTATAGATAGTCAGAATTGACGATGTGAATTAGATAATAGTCGTTTTCTTGGACGTGTAGAATGATTCTTCTTGATCATAAAATAAATCATTTGTGATTAAACAGAATTTTGTAGCGAGATGCTTCGTCAACTAACATATTTGTTTTGAAGCGAACGTCAGACCTATTGGCTCAAGCTCTCCGTATGGAGTCTAATGATTTACAGATCGGAACGTTGTACACCTAAAGTTGCCTGTTTAGTAGGCTTTTCGATTGATCGAATAACCGTTCGAGTAAGGTTAGATTGATATACGATCTCGAATATATTCTGTATGGGATTCCTAGAGGTCTCTGTTACGAAACCTATTAAAACCAAACTCAAAGCTATTTCCTGATTCGTGCTTCAAAAGACCATTATTCTATTTTCGTTCGTACATTACATCAAACAATTGGAGTTTACATTCCGTGATTTAGAGTAACAAACTGAACGAAGAATGTGGATAAATCTGTAAATGATATAGCGTGTAATGTTTAGAAATTCTTATAGTTACTTAAAAATTCTAACATGTTATGATAGATGGAATAATCTGTGATGTTACCGTTTAAAAGTTATACAGATGATTCTCTATTTATGTATTTTAAATTATGTATAGATATTCATCCAATCTTAATACAATTTTTACATAGGATGTCTGTCATAGTTTATCTGTCATATAATACCAAACAATACTAAAATTTTATTTTCATAGTTTTTAATTTCTTTTACAGGATGATTCATTGGCTAGTGGACACAAAGATAGTACCGTCGTCTAAACACCACCAAATATTGAAGCAGGGGTCCTGTGTCCTTACACAATAATCTGATCAATGTGTGCAGCGACTACATTTGTGTGTATCTATGTATAAGTCGTAAAATTTTAAATGTCAAAGTTTCTTGAACGGGCAGTACTACTTTTGAGTCCATTAGCGAGCGAAGCACCCTGTATAATGATTTGTTGCTAAACACTTGTAAGTTATTGAACATTCGAGAAATTTGATATTTCTGCAAAAATTATACAAGAAATTAATTATTCGATGATTTATAGGTTTGCTCAAAATGGAGGGACATACTTTACGCACGACCTCGACTCTGGGCGGGTTTGGTGCCTGTAGTAAGGTGTCGAGAAGTGCGTGCTATGCCTCCTGGTTCGCGCACGCAACTCTACGTCTCCTTGGTCAGAAGAGGATTTCATTCATTGGTTCTTCTCGGTGCGTCGGACGAGGATATCCCCGAACTGACACATGGATTCCCGTTAGCGCAGAGAAACATTCACTCTTTGTCTCTGAGATGCTGTGCAGTTACTGACAGTGGACTAAAAGCGCTTCTAGATCATTTACAGGTAAGCATTTTTAATACAAGAGTATAATTACATTGGAAAATTAAATATTTCGTTAAATGAAGTAAACTGAATTACTTTTTGTTTGCAGATTAAAGATATAAAAAATTTTTATTGGTATAAAGATACAAAAATTAAATGAATTTTTTTTTAAGAAACGATCTGCTACAGATTGTTTAATTTTAAATGCCTCCTTTATATTTGAATATGTAAAAAACTCGCTTTACGGAAAGTTGAATAGTTTGGATAAAAAGTATATTAGGGATGAACTTTTTTCAACGTTTTTTTTTTTCTCTCGAAGATTCAAGGTCAAAAAGAATGAACACCTAAATAAATTACTATATCAAATATTTTGTATTTCATAGGTCTTTAACCTTAGAAGAGAATTTTTTTTTTATTACAGTAGTGTCTTCTCAAACTTTTTATCGACTTTTATTTTCAATTCATCATCAGTTCTTGATGTAATTAAGACACATGGTTAAACGTCTTAAAATAATTGTATCTTGTTTTTAAAATTAATATCATTGATAATGAATATTATCATTGGAAGAATAACCGAGTGAAAATTTCCCTAATGCTATTATATTTTTAGGCGCTGTTCGAGCTTGAATTAGCTAGTTGCAACGAGATAACGGAAGCCGGCCTGTGGACTTGCTTGACACCTAGAATAGTATCGCTCTCCTTGTCGGATTGTATCAATGTGGCCAATGAAGCTGTCGGTGCTGTCGCTCAATTGCTGCCGAGCCTCTACGAATTCTCATTACAGGCTTACCACGTAACTGACGCCGCCCTTGGATATTTCCATGAAAGTAGCTCCCTTAGTATTCTCAGGCTTCAATCCTGCTGGGAACTCACTAATCATGGTGTAGTCAATATTGGTAAGAAATTTTTCTTTTAAAGTTCTCCTTTAAGTCCTCCTAATTTTCAATTTTTAAAAGCTTTATTAAAATATAAGATATTCAAGGAGTATCTCATATTGAAATACTTAAACAAAAATACATACTCAAATGATTATTGAGTTACCATATTAATTATTAAATAACGTCTATGTTATAATGTAAAAAATACCACAAACGTTATTTAAGACATTAATGTCGCGGAAAGCGGGACGGTTGCGACACTGTTCTGCCAGGATCCAGGTAGAAATAATTCACGATGACGATAGCGTGAAATTAAGTCAGGTGGTGCACGCATTCGACTATTATAAATTTAGAATTAAGGAACATCGCTTTATTTAGCTTTCAAGCTGTCACCAACAGTTCAGTTCAAGCTCCCAGGTAAGTACATGTAGTCGATTCGAGGACAACGACCGGTTGATATCATTTACACGATAGTTCTGTATTTATCTATAACAAAATGACACATAATAAGAAACAATATAGAACAAACAGAAACAAAATTTTGAAAAATTATTCATTACTGTTTTTGATTCTATTTTTCAGTACATTCCTTGCCCAATCTGACTGTTCTATCGCTGTCCGGATGTAGCAAAGTAACAAATGATGGTGTTGAATTGATAGCAGAAAATTTGTCCAGGCTTCGTTCATTAGATCTAAGCTGGTGCTCGAGGATCACTGACTCGGCTTTGGAGTATATTGCTTGTGATTTGTACTACTTGGAAGAGCTTACTTTGGACAGGTAAGAGCTACTTAAAGGAGACATTCAGCTACAAACAATGAAGAGACATTTTTCTTTTCTTTTTTTAAATCGTATTAACGACATCGCGAACCCTACAGCGAATCCGTACGATCCATTCATGTTCTAAATACTGAACGCGTGAACAAGCATTCTATTTACGATCGACTATTACGCAATACGCCAATGAATCAGCGATAGTGAACGCGTTCAGACACCTAAGGAGACAGACTTACAATCTGTTTAAACGATCAATCGACTGGCTGTAGGAGACGATATATATATATTGTTTTCGGGAATATAAACTTGGAACTAAATGATTTGATATTGATTGTCGTTTTCATGAGCATTGCAATTTATCTTAAATTGAGGTGTTAATGAAACGATGATAACTTCGGAACGATCGTTGAGTAATTATACGAAGGGAAAGTTTCACTGGTCCACAAGATAATGGGGAAATTTTAGACCTTTCTTTTATTATAAAAATAATATATTTAGTAGTAATAATTTAATCTGAAAAATGAAATAAAGATGTAAAATTAATAATCTATAGTAAATTTATAATTCAAAATATGAGTGAGCTAAAGTATAGCTGTATTAAAATAGCGAAGGGAAAAATATGAAGATTGAAAAGAAGCCAAAACGTGAAAATTTAGAAGATCTATATTAGGAAACAGTTCAACTAGATAGTTTGTTAAACTCTTGTTTTTCTTCCCGCGTAGGTGTGTGCACATCACAGACATCGGCATGGGTTACATTTCCAGGATGAGATCATTGAGTGCATTGTTCTTGAGATGGTGCATACTACTTAGAGACTTTGGACTTCAGCACTTGTGTGGCATGAAATCCTTACAAGTACTCTCGGTGGCAGGTAAGATCAACCTAAGACCTGCCCTATGCGATGCCCTACATTATACATCATAATCTAAAGAATAATTATTCCTTCTGAAGAATGAATAATCATTAACCACTAACCTTATAACATTTTATAAAAAAATGTAAAAATTCGTCTTTAAAAAATTTATCTCTTTTTTTATGTGTACAAAATATAAAGAATATAAACTTTTGCAGGTTGCCCGTTGCTCACAAGTAGTGGATTATCTAGTTTGATTCAGCTTCGGCGTTTACATGAGCTAGAGCTAACCAATTGTCCAGGAACTTCTCAGGAGCTGTTTGACTATTTACGTGAACATCTGCCGCGCTGCCTAATCATCGAATAAATGATGCTTCACTAAAAGTACGGCAACAACTCTAGAGATTCCTTTACGTTTCACCCATAAGACGTTTCTATTCCTATAGGGCGAGACAGCAACATAAAAAGATGTTTCACGTAAAGTACTACATAGAACGGACGATTGTATAAGAGGAGATGATGCAGATGCAGATAAGGAAGAAACAATTAACGTCCAAATGCGGATACTACCGCATACTATGTTCTCTCTTTCAATGACAAAGAGTATAAAATGGAAAAACAGATATAAAAAAGAAAAAAAGAAACACTAGCCCCTAAAACCATGCAAATGTTAACACTAAAATAGCGCGTAGACATTTTTAATACACCAGAGCTCCCGTATGAATCGCACTCCTTTTTCGCCGATATTAGATTTTCGATCGAATCGAACGATTCGATTTATTGTGTTGTTTCTTTTTTCTTTTTCATTTTTGTCGAAAGTGTTAAAAAAAAAGAAAAAATAGGAAAAAAAGGAAATTTAAGAAAAAATGAAAAAAAGTATGCGCCTCCCGATAACTCGGTATCCTGTACAGAGTTTTACACATCGCCGCTTGATAGAGAAAAAAAAAAGTAAACCGAAAGACAGTTTAATTATAGTAGATTCTCACTAAAAAGAAAAAAAACAGCTGAAAAAAATAAAAGAATGTAGAGATTGTTCGATGAGACGGCATGACAGACTCAATAACAGTTAGAACTGTGATAAATTTTTATTATGCGTATATTATTCTACTCCGTTTATGTTATGTAACGACTATGTTTAGGTCGTTGTTTATCCTGCTTCAACATTTTAAGGATGCGCGTGATTATCGACGCGTTAGATGCGGTGCTTTTGAGACAAAAAAATGAGCTACTTAGTGAAGTGATTAAAAAAAAAGAAAAAAATAAGCAAAAAAGAAATGAAAAAAAGTGCAGAAAAACATTCCGGTTGCGTGTTAAAAAGACCTTTCGTTTACAAGACATTACGATTTTTTATTTTTTCGTCAATGTGTTACGTAATAAAGGAGTAAAAAGAAAAAGAGAAAAAAAACATTACAAATTATTGCACATGTATGTACTGTTTAGGAAAAGAAAAAAATTTTTAACTTATATTTTACCTATGTATATTCTGCTGTCATGTAATTAATGTTTCCTACATTTACGGCTTACACCTAGTTAAGTTTTCGAATGTTTTTTCATTAAATGTAATGATATATCGCAATATAGAAAAAAACGTATTTTACGTGTTTAATACTGTTAACTATTTCAACGGTTATTTAAAACAAATCAATGTCAAATATACATTATGCTCTGAGTCAGTACATAAAATATTGAAAGGAAGTTTTATGCCGCTGTTGTAGCTGAATAAATGCAACGTTTTTTACGTTGATACTTATACTAACCGAACAACTTCTGTGTAACGTTTTAACATGTCCTCGACATCTACCGAACTGAAAATATTTTTTGCGTGTTACCACATGTTTAGAAGATAACGTCTTTGTATATATTGTACAAATATACGATTAATAATTCTGTTACTAATCAAAACTAAATAAATATATTCGCACAGTCAAAATTCTATCTGAGATCGGGTCACATGCGACGCTAGTCACGAATATAACTTATAAGAGTGATATACGATAACATGATGGAATGTGCTGTGAAATAAAAATTTATTGATCTGAATTTATTTTTGTATTCTTAGGCATTCTCCCACCATGTTAGCAATCCAAGACCTGGCTCATCAATAGCACCCTAAAATATAGAATTTAAATAATATGAATATAAAATTAAAATAATTACTAGTTTTCATTGAAATGTAAATTTCACAGCTAATATATTCGTCATATTCCTAAGATATAAATACAAACCCCTAAGGTATATGGAGATATATTTTTAGCTTCTGATTTCTCAGTCTCCCCAGACACATTTGGTCCTGTAGGTAATGCCTCTGTGAATGTTTCACTCACTACTCTGAATCGTATGGTTTCTCCTGAAATTTCAAATTACTTTATCTTTGTGTTATCAACTGATTAAACTTCTTAAAATAATTTACCTGCATCCATAAACAAATTATGCTTTTCACCATCTCCTGTATTATATTCCCATACCCATGCTTGTTCCATTTGATCAAACCTAGATGGATGTTGCAGTTTATGAGGTGGTATTATAATATCTTCAAAAAATCCTAATGTTACTGGAAACAAAAGTTTAATAATAAACATGGCATAGATTTAAATAAGCAATAATATTATATGATGTAAATATTACCATGGACTCCATCAACACTACAGCTACGTATTTGACCTATTAATATTTCTTCCATAAATGGACGAAACACAATGAAACGAAATATTACTTTAGTATGAGATGCACCATCACCAGGAAAAATATATGATTCTTCGATTTTTGTAATATCATGAAGAGCAATACAAAGACCAATATTAAGATAAACCTTAAACAAATAAATTAATGATAATCTTAAATCAACTAAAGGAATTGAAGTAAAAGATTTTAATTAATTACAATATTTTACCTTATTTGCTAATTTTCTGTTGAGTTCATTTGTAATAGCATCATTTAATTTTTGTTTAAATTCCCATGGTGGAATTCTAACTGTATCTTTTAACTCCGCCAGAACAAACATTAGAATTGCGCTGTATTTAAAAATGACGAAATTTTAAAATAAGAAATACTTCTTGTTCTAGTTCACTAACACAATATTTACGTTTTTATTCCAATAAATTTATAAACATATAATTTCAATTATATACTTTACATGTTTTAAAACGAGTAAAGCTCCGCTTGCAATACATCGAGGAAAACTGTCTTAATAACAACATAACCTTTAAAACACGTGCTTTAAGACGTTCAAGTGCAAAACAGATACAGATTTTACATATTTCATTTTGTGTTTTAACAGTATTGGAAGTAAAAAATGTAGTACAAATAAAAAATTAAAATACTTATGATATAAGTAAACGAAGATAAAATTAAGAATTTACTCTTGGAAATTATTTAAAGTAAACGAACTATTGACAGCATGGATATCGTAAATTCAATTTTAGAAAAGTACACACAGAAAAAAGATACCTGTAAATCCACAATAGTAAATAAAGATGTAGAAGTCGAAACAGACGTAGGAAGTCTTTTAGTGTTAGATTTTAATAGTGTGAATTTAAAAGTAATGAGGTAACCCAGAAATTTTTTGTCGTACTTAATATGATATTTATTTTATACTAATTTGCTCGTATTAATTACTTGTTTATATTTTATAGATCACAATCTGAACAATATCTAAAAAGTTTAACCAGAGATAATGTACAAATATTGATTAATAAAATTTGGGAACTTCCAACAGAACGTATTGATGAAGTAATAGTAGCAAAATTACCCAAACAAGAATTTGTATTACCACGATCTCGTCAGATTCCAAAACCAAAGCCTTTAACAAAATGGCAACAGTTTGCTAAAGAAAAAGGTATCAAATCCAAACAAAAAAATAAATCCAAGCTTAAATGGGATGAAGAATTACAGGTGAATCATAGCAATATCTTTCCTTTTTCTACTTTTTGATTACATTATTGATATTTATTGATGCAAGCATTTATCTTACTTTAATATTCTTACAGAAATGGTTACCTACATTTGGTTATAAACATAACAAAGCTATGGAGCAAAAAGAATGGTTAGTAGAAGTTAATGATGAAGGTAAAGCCATGGAAGATCCATTTGCAGCTGCAAAAGAAGCAAAAGAAGAAAGAAAATCTAAGAATGAACTCCAGAGATTGCGTAATATTGCCAAGACAAAAAATATAAAAATTCCAAAAGTGGGACTTCCTACCAGAGAACATTTTTCTGATTCACAACAACTTTCACAAGCTATGACTATTGCACGTACATCAACAGCATCAGTTGGTAAATTTCAAGACAGGTATATTTTATATTACATTACTGAAACATTAATTATAGTATTATATATATATATATGTGTATACAATATATAATACTGAGTAGATTGCCAAAAGAAAAAGATGCAAAAGGTATTGCCAAACAAGTTCCTGGTATGAAAAGAAAAGCTGAAAAAATTCCACAAAATTTACAAGAAGAAAAAAGACGGAATACAGATCTGGCAGATAGTATTCTGAAAAGTAATATGAAGATTCTTCGTAAAGACTTCTCTGTACCAAAGTAAATTTCTATACTTCCTATAAAATTTATTTGTGTAAGAAGCACCATGTAAATAAATATTTTTATTTTACAGAATAAAGCCAGTCAAAGCAGGCAGGGAAAAAGGTAAGAAAGGAACAAAAATTAAAGGAGCAAAGAAACCAAAAGCAGGTAAAGGACAACGAAATATGAAGCTTAAAGTTGGTGGTAGAAAGCGAAGATAAAAGAACTATATATTCAAATTTATTCATCTTAATTACTTGAACTTGGATTATTATAAATTAAAAAATGTACTATTAGGTATGTTCATAAGAATAAAATATTATATTAAAATAAATAATATCTATATCAAAATATTTTATTAATTTCTTGTAAATAGTCATTTTTCTTGACCTCAAAAAAATTTTGATATGTTCCTTATAATGACATTCCTTAAAAATTGGACGAACTTAATGTCTAAATCAAACTATATTAATTATAAATATGTTACACTGTTTTTACTAACTTATTAGTTAATAGCAAAAAATGACTACATTTTAGAAAAAACAAAATGTTAGACATAACATGAAAAATATCCTACTCCCTTCCTATTGAACAAACTTTCGGAAATGCAGAAGAAAGGAAATATAATTAAAGTATAAGACTTATGTACTATAGTAAAATTAATCAAAAGTAAACTATATATATTCATAAATTACATATTAGACAATCTGCATAGGAGTATATCTAAAAAGTTCAACTAAATAATCATGAATAAAATGAAAAGAAAGTGTTACAGGTCGATAAGGCAGGTTGTCCCTTGGTCACAAAATCAGGGTAACGCGAGAAAGGTGAAAGGTCAAAAGCAGTACGGGATATCGACTCGGAGAAGTCGTGAGGGCGAGGTAACCTGGTAGAGGGTGTAGGGGAGGGTAAGTGCGAAAGCGGGTTGCCCTAGAATCTGTAGGGGGTTCCACCCCACATGTGATTTTATACGTATTGTATATGTATACACGTTCAATGCCATCTCTACGAAATACAAACGCATTAGAATACCTTGCGTAATTCAAATTGAAATGACAAATACATTCAATTTCGATCTTTCATTTAAAATCTTAATTTCTAATGATGTTCATTTATCATGCTTTCAATATTCTATTTTATTCTATTTACGAATCACAAATAATAGAACTTATCGGGTGAAATATACCGCTGTGAGTGAAATAATGGTTGAAAGCATAATAATGTGATATACATATGTAACATTTCAGATTAAAAGCATATTGTACAGCTTATATGTCCTATTTGATCATAATACTAAGTTTCGATATGACGATATAGTGCATGAATTATATTAGAAAAAAATTGGAATCTATAAATTATGACTACTAACACATATGTGAGGAAAGTTAAATTTTTTCATGACATCGATCAAAAATCGATACCGTTTAAAAGAATATTTCGATAAAATTAATTCGATCATATAACTATATGATTACTTGAGATTTGAACCTTATTGTGTGAGCAAAATGATAAACATTCGCATACCACTGAAACTATCATTTACTGTAAAATTAATCATTTTAATCGAATCTTTCAATTTACTCAAGACTTGGAATCAGGCTCTAATGATATTTTGCTATCGATGCTGCGTGACTACTTTTAATCTTCAGATGCATAGAAAAATCGAACATTATAACTATGTGTGGTAAAGCAAACATGTCATGAACAATTATTATTTTGAAAATGATTACAGTATATACTTCCTGGAGAGAATAACATCGCTCATGACTATCTAATGAAACCTACCTTTCTATGAAAATGTGTTAGCCTTGATTAAGCCTAGATATTCAAAAAGGAGATTGAACGAAAGGCGTACATAATCGAGCGACGTAACGCGCGTGCGACCAAACTATAGGAGGGGATTGCCGAGCAGGCGGACAAAGAAGTAATCGCGCGCGGTCGGTCGCGGTGCTCAGTCGGTGGTTGTTCGGGACGAATGGGCGCGTCCACGAAGTGCGGGGTAACGATGGAGGCTGTGTTAATTGCGACGATCGAGTGATACATACCGTGTGTATACACGGGGATCGTGTCCTGGATTTGTGGCTCGCGTATCCCCTTCGCGCGTGTCTCCTACTCCCTTCCCCTGTGACTGCACCCCTGCTTTTGTGTGCGTGCGTGTCCCTCTAATATAATGGTCATTTAGCATTTCGTATTAAAAGAAGTAAAGCTAAAAATTGGAAAGAAAGAAAAGAAATAGTGCAATAGAACAAAGAAAGGTACAAGAAACGAAAGAATGTCATCCACATAGTCAAATCGAGGCGACCGAAGAAAGAAGCAAGCAGGTCGAATACGGTGCAGTGGTTACCCTGAGTCGTTGGTACGCGCAGCCTTTTGGTGTTGCTGGCTGACTTGATACCTGCTTTGCTATTGCTGTTGCTGCCGCCGCCGTCGAATCGCCGCCGACGTTGCTGCAGCAGTTGCTAGCGATGCGAAATGAACGAGAATAAAAAAAAAAGAAATATAATGTGTTGTTGAAAGGGAGAGAGAGAGAGAGAGAGAAAGAGAGAGAGAGAGAGAGGGGGAGAGAAAGAAACAAATGTAGCCTTCATTGTTCCGTCGACGTCGTCGTTCTCGTCGTTTGGTCGTCATTTTATTGTATAAATCGTTCTGTGTTAATGCGCGTCCTCCTATCATGAACAAAAAAGAAAGGAAAGAAAAAAGGGAAAAATAATAAATGTGACGTGCCCGTCGGCCACCAGCCAGCCTTTTATTTTTTTACGCGCTTCATGTGTTCTTTCTTTTTAGGAAGTCTCAAGTAGGATGATTTATTGTTGAGTTCGTACTCATCATGAATCTTCTCGGCCTTTAGATATTTTTTTTTTTTTAACTTCACGTTACTTGGCTTTATGTACCCTTTTTTACTTGCTTCGTGCACGTATCATTGCACGTATGTATATTCGTTTCTTATCACCACTATAGATGGCCAAAGCGGTAATTACGTTTGCTTAATTGCTTCATTGCTTCATTGCAAAAATTCATTATCCTCAGTTTTCTAATTTGCGAGCTTCTTTAGTACTGAGTCAACTTTAATGTGAAAATAGTACCCATTGCAAATAGAATTTTTTTATGCTGAATATCGCAGTGTGGCGTGCATGTTCGATTTGTTTACATTTTTCATGTAAATTATACGTATTTTATGTATACACTACTTACAACAAAAATGGTTGACAAGGTTAGAAAGAAAAATAAAGAATCGAGCAAGGTAAAGAAAAGGGAGTAAAGTTCAAAGGAGACAAAGATAGATAGCGGAAGGGCACTAAAAATGAACGTGATGAAGTGTGGGAGGGGAAAAAGAGAGGTAAAGAAAAGGAAAATGGCAGGGTGGGATAGAGGAAGGGATAACTAGAACGTGTCGTGATAAAAAACAATGAGGAAGAAGAGGGTTTTTCGATTTGTTACATTTGTGTCGGCACCACTTGACCCATTGACGGGTCAACAAGCAAAACGGAAAGATGCCAATGCAGAGGTCTTCGCGTAGTGTTCAGTTTGAAAATTTTGAAAATTAAGAGTGGAAAACTATTTAGGTAAAAATACTTTGATCGAAAAATGTGATTATTCATTGTAATATATAATTTTTGTAGAAAATACGGCAATATGTTCGCAACTTTTTTTTATGTAATATAATTATTGCTTTTTTATATTTTAATTAAAATATTATACATAAATAAATCTTTTGTTGCTTTTTTCTTTTCTTTTTTTTATACTATTCAAAGTATTTAGGTAGTTTTGAACTTTCTTTAGGCTTTTAATATTTCTAATTTTGTATATATTTGTTAATTAAAGATATTGCATTTTTATTTGTGTTCAGTTAGTATCTTTATGATGATATTCTTTTCTTTTTAAATAATTTTTTAATGTAAAAGATAGATCATTGTATATCTTTTCACGTTGTCTTTTTACCTTTACAAATGATTATATTTCTTATTTGTATATATATTCGTGTACATACATACATCGCATGTAATAACTTTACTAATTATATCTTGAATTAATGATAAAGTTTAGTAATTTACATTTTCTAATGTGTGCTTTTAATGTGTAGAGATTAATTCTTAAATTTTTCAAATCTATATCATTTCTTAAGTAATTAGCCAACAATTTTATAAATAATCTACTGCAGAAAAATAATATCGATAATTTGCCACCTTATCAATAGCTAAGTTACGCCAAAAGTAACTGTAAATTCTTAGATTACATAAAAAAAAGGAAAAAATGTTTAAAAGCTATATCGTTTATGCATATTACTATTTATTTCCAATACGCATATGTAAATATGTACTGCTTTCAGTATAATAAGTAGATATTGCTGTAAATGGAATGCTTTTCACATGCTTCCCGCTAGGATATTTGTGGTAGTATTAGAATGACGGCCGCCAATAGCGGGCGGATATCCGTCATGTTTCTTGCCTTTACAGAGGAAAAAAAACAGGAAGACGATGCAAAGGAATCTAAGCTCGTAACAGAAAGAACGCCTGGCCCGAAGGCGTTAAACCGGGAAGAGTATAATCGGGGTACGAAGCGATGTACGCAGCTGCGGGTGGCGCCAGTATAGCGAATAGGAGGAAGCAGAAGCGATTACAGCTAAACAAACGTGCCGCCGAGGGTACGATCCCGTCACGACTGAAGACGATTCCAGCTTCTCAGCACCACTACCACCATCAACACCATCACCCCAGCAAGTTTGCTCGTCCGCACGTTGTTCCACCATCTTCCACACCACAGCCACAGCCACCATCATCTGCATTCCATCCGAGCATCGATCGACGGCGTCATGTCGAGAAGTGTCAGCAGGTTGCACCTGCTTCCCCAATCCAGTTTCCAATATCGCCACCACCGCTCTCCCTTGAGTCACCTAGTTCAGTTACATGCGCCACTAAATCCAATAATTTTCCTTTTCCACCACCATCGATCCTTGATCTCCGAGTTTCGCCATCTTCTTCAGAGCTACAGGTGGGTAGATTGTTTAGGAATATTTTAATTGCTCTAGGGTCATTTCATTATTTCTATCTTTTAGCTCTATTTCTCTTTCTCTATCACACTAGTTGCTCTTGCTAGGTACCCTATCACGTATTTATACGCAATCTCCTTGTTCAAGTATTTGATAATCCTCGTTGCACTCTGCACCTTCTTCTTGCTGGCACACCTTTACTTATATTAGGAATACACCGTCGATCGGCTGTCTGGTGGCGTATGTAAACCCGCGATAACACATCCTCGAGCAGCTTCAGGTTCGTCAGGTGGTTATCCATAACTTGTAATTTTTAGTAATTAACATGTCCCTCCTGGTTCCTACCAGCAGATACAAGCATCATCTAATGCTGGAGGCAGACAGTGCAATGTTAGGAGTAAGTTGTAGTGCTTGGTACCAATCACAATTGGGAGACCTTTGAGAAGAAACTCGTGTGGTTTTCTGATTTTTTGTTGGGGTAGAGGAAAAATAAGGGAAGAGCTTAAGTTGTACGGTGTAAAAAGAAAGTGGAAAGGAGAAAGAGGAGGAGGAGAAGGAGCAGAAGGACGGTCGAGATCTTAACGATCAATAAAACAGGCAAATGAATGAGCGGAATGCAGGCTGCTTTATTGATTAGAAGGGAGAAGCAACGGTTACGGGGGGGTAAGGTGGTGAACTTTAGAGAATTACCCTCCAACTTGGCCACCAGACTTATTCCGCCGCTTCCACGATATCCCCCACGATCATATGTTTATGGGGTAAGTATTACAGTTATCGTAATATGCTGTATCATCAACAGTAAGCTATTGGCATCAGAGGGTAACTGCTGCTTCCCTAGCTAATTATATGTGCATCAATTTTATATACTTCTATTTGAAGAAAAAAATTCATACTGTAGTGATGTTTATCCCTTTTTACTTTCTCTTACCATAGAACAGATCAGTGTTTCCTATATTATTATGCATTAGTTTCTGTTCGTATTTAAAGAAATATACTTGCTAAATATATTTAGAGAAATCAAAATGTATACAAAATTTAAAATATTTCATGGCATTACACCATTTTTGATATGAACGTTTTAATAAAATACTAATGTAAATGGTTATTTAAATGCAGCAAATGATTGTGTGATTTTTCATCTCAAAAAAGTACCTTAGAGGAGTTTCTAAATACACAGATACATGATAATAGTCTTCAGACTAATATAGTGCAAAAAATTGTAAGTTTTACAATATGCACTACATATTCCACATCCAAAGGTTGATAACTGCTACTAATTGTGTTTAATGAATTCTTTGTTGTCAATTAGAATGCAATGATTACAGTGTACTTGTGTAGACAAGTTCTACGATACATGTACGTATAAAACGTTTATACACATCTCAATTGGTTCCATTTATACAAATCTTTCTATATTCTATCTAGTACATGCATGCATGATTTTATCTTATTATTTATGTGCTGAGTAACGAGGACAAAAATTATTAATTAAAATTATCCGATAACATAATAATAAATAATAGATGTTTATTTCAATAGACATGTCTTAAATGATAGAGAAAGATGTAAATTACATAATCATATTATTATTGATTTTAAGTTTTGTATTTATTTATATTTTATACAATAGTATAAATAATATTTAAAATAGATTCTGAGAAGTATTAAAGAGTACTTGATATATTAGATCATCCACAATTATATTACATCTAAATTCAATAGACACTGAAATGTTGAATGATTTTAATTGTAGTTATTAAGGAAATTTATAAAGATAATACTTGAACAGAAAATAATTTCAGTGTAGCGGAGGACCTGGAAAAGCAGCATGGCAGGGATGCAGCAGACCTTCTCCCCTTCCTTTATCTCCTATGTCACCCCATGGATGTCGTGGGGATGGTTACAAAACAAAGCAATGCGAGGCTCATCGACGATGGATGAAAAGGAACAGGGTAACCAAGCATTTGTTGTAATGTAACAAAGAAAAAGTTTTTAAGTTTTACAAAAGTTTTACATTATGCAAAACAATTAATTTACTAACATTTGTTTAACTTGTACAAAATTTTGCATACTATTTGACATTTTAAAAAAAAGCAAAAGATAAGAAATATAATAAAATAATTTTATTAAGACAATCAATTTTTAATACTTCAATTTATCAGTAAAGAAACAATATTCAATAAGTTCGTATTGTTCATTTAAGAAGTTTATATTGCAATTAGGTATCAAGAAAACAAACAATAAATAATTGTTTTACATTACGTTAATATTTTTTAAAATTAGAAATTGCAGAATGGTGAAATGGAATACAAAATTTTTACTTTTACTATTACTAAAATTAGGAAATACCACCTATTTTATTGATATTCAGGTACTTTATACATAATATTTTATTACTTCTGATGTAATATAAACCTACATAAATAAAAGTAGTGAAAATAGAAAGAGAAGAGACATTCTTTATTTTGCTCTATTAGAAAATGAGCATATCTTTTTGTAATAAATACATCACGTTTTTAGTTTTTAACTTATGTGAACATTTTTATTTTATTATCCTTTCTAATTTAACGATTTTATAGTTCTAGATTGTATCAACAAGATTTGATATGCACCATAAAGCATTAAAAACAGATATTTTATATTTTCGACTAGAATACCCTTGTTTTATTCCTTGTTTTGTATAATTGTTCTGTATATCTATGAAATGCGAATTACAGTATCATTTTTAATTTTCAGATAAGAGATGCAAGTTATTGCTATGGAAGCAGTGGAGAAGATGACGAAGAAGATGGAAGCAGTAATGCAAACCGTCGTAGAGGTGAAGTTAGTGCGGCAGTGAATACCGTACTTTATGCGGGGCTGGGAACTACAGCGCTCGGATTAGTTATATCGTTTGTCGGCACTGGAGAGAAAGGATTCCTCAGTCCGGAATTGAGGCTGGTGGGTCCTTCGCTACTGTGCGCCGGTTTACTGTGTTGCCTATTTCGGGTGCTGCTCTGCCTCTGTTTATGTCGTTGCGGTCAATGCCGCTGGCGGTTTTGTCACGTTGCTTCTGACAAGAAAGAGAAAGTGAGGAAAACGGAAGCTAGACCCGTTGGAACATTGCCTACCGCCTCACTTTTATCACCAGTGCATCAACAACAGCAACAACAGCAATCGGCCATACCTACAAGTGGCGTTGCATCATCATCAACAAAAGCACATGAGCTCTTGCTCTCTCCTGCCCAATTACCAGAGTGAAAACACCATTACGAACGTTTTCTACGAAATCTACACGCCGATTAACTGCCGGTTCTTGTCCAATATAGAATATCTTATCTCCATTCGACCTGAACCGTTTTCGCAAACGAAAGAAAAACAACAATCACAGCCTATTTCTAGTTTAAATGCGAATTCTAGTGCTTAAAATAATAGTTAAATAAACAATCGCCTATGTTTTTCTACCCCTACTGTGTTTGAAAAAGTAAAAAAAAAAGTAATTATCAATAAGCTTTTGAACTGCCTCCTGGTTTATTTCCTTCCACGTTTGCATTTTCTTTACAAGAATTGCCTAAAGTTAAATCACCTTTCTTTTAAAATGTTTAAGAACATTCATATTATTCTATTCTTACAATATAAGATCAGCTTATCATTTTTAAACTGACATTACAGTCTTTTACAAAACACAATCTTGCATGAAAAAGATATGCACATAGTTGAGATAGTCATTTTGTAAATTGTGTTTTACATTAAATAATTTATATTAACATGCAGTGATCAAGAAAGTTGAAATTGCATTTGATCAGTAGATGTGTAACTGTATATAACAGGTGTGTCAGAAGTGGTAGCACTAGATGCAGTTGCTGCAATAGCAAACAATTGATCCTCATATATAGTTCCTTGTGGTTCAGCTTTTCCATTACCCGTTGTTGTACCACTACCTGGAGGATTGTCTCCTTTTGTTGCTTCTCGATACTTTTGTAAATATACCTTTAATGGTTCTACGTAATTGTCAAAACCAAGTGTTGTCATAGCAAATAGAATATCTTCACCATTAATAGTCTTGCGTTTTTCCATGTGACACCGATCGCTTGCTTCAGATGTGATAAAGGATATAAATTCGGATACACATTCTTGAACACATTCGCGTGCATCTTTCGCTATTTTTCCTGCTTCAGGTATTGCTCTTTTCATAATCTTAGCAACATTCGCTATTGGAAGAAACCGATCTTGTTCACGAAGAGGTCCCCCACCACTGCCACCACCAGCTCCTTGCAAGGGATCACTCGCCCCATGATTTGAATCGTCCGTATTTTCAGGATCATCTGAATAGAAATACAAGTATAACTTTTAATATATTAAAATATAAAATCGATGTTTATACATTGTTATTTAATAAAGTTTTGGAATATTTTAACTCGTACAACAAAATACATATAATGTCAATATTGCATTGGCAGTTATTATAAAATTGTTAGTTAAGATCAACCACAAGAAATGTTTTCTTTTCTAAGAAAAAAAGAAAAAAATTCCCTAAAAATTTTAGTCATTTTATAATATGAAATATGGAATAGAAATTTTTATTTGTATCTTTAAAGAGTTTCAAAACATCATTAACCTACCTTCCATATCGTCAGATTGTACACTAATATATGATGCAGAAACACCACCACCTCCAAGAAATGCAGTTGGACCTAAAGGTCCACCATCGTCGCCACTTTCTCCACTATTTTCCATTTCCAGTTTGACTTACACTAAACACAAAGCACAGACACTTTAGTTTCCTTAACCTGTTTGTACCTTTGTTTTCACGGTACTTTATTGCATTTTTTGACATAAACAAGCTTATGGATAGATATCAACAACACTCGAAATAAACGAGGTTTCTTGGAACAACTAGTGCCCTCATACTAACTGAATATTAAACCTGTAATTATATAGTTTTTTTAAAAATTGACTTTTATACAAAAATCTAGTTTATTATTTTTTTTCTTTTCTAGATCAAATGTTTACTTTCTATTTAGTACACTAGATAAAATGCAAATAAATAAATAAATAAAAACAAACGAATCATTTAGGCAGATCCATAAGTGATTAAAAAATTAAAGCGCAATTCACAAAATGCATCTATAAACGAATCTTTCGAATAGAATAATAATAATCGCAGTTTCATCCTATACGCATAAATACGCAATAAGTAGTTTATTTAAAACTATTGATATGGCTATGTCTAGTACTTTATTAATGCGGAAAAGTTTTTTAATAAACGGTAAGCGAATTTTCTTTATTTATAATATATGCCAATCACAATTCATATGCTCATTATTTTCATCTTGACGTCTGTTACTGAAATTTCTAATTAAATTATTCAATTTATAAGGAAAATATTAAAACTGCGTGTGATAATTATATCTTTTTATATAATTTTTTTATTGTATATTTCTCATTGGCAATGGATATATATGGTTTTATTTATAGTGTGGTACAATCATTTAAGTAAAGCATAATGTTTTATAAAGTTGCTATAGTTATGCAGCCTGTATTATATGATGCATACAATTTGAAATAATGCAATGATTTTGTACTTATCGACTCATTGCTTATTTACAAAAATAGCAATATTAAATGTGCTGAGAGAACAAGTTTTGTTCTATATTTTACAAAGACATTTATGCGATAAATTATCTAAACAAAAATGACAGAACTTCAGGAAGATTCCTCAAAAAAATTTATTAAGAAATTAACTGACCACTTGAAAGAAAACAAATTCAAAGAAGTTTTAAACCTCTTTGAGAATAATAATTATGATGATGTCATTAAAGACTCTTCGTGGAATATTGTTTCAATAGTATCTTCTTATCTTACTATACAAAATGTAAAGTACAATGGTGATCTAATTGAATGTTGTACAGCAATATTAAATATTATTGTAAAAAAATGTAATCCTTTTGAAACAGTATTAGGACTATTAGAACAAGTAGAAGGTCCAGAAGATGATATAAAATTTTCTATAATTTTAAGTGTACTTACTACATGTCTTTCTAAAATGGATGATAAAATGAAAGTTATAGAATGGTGTACTAGTACAATAAGGTCTTACATTGAAAGTTTACCTGTACCAGAAAAAGAATCTCAAAATTACATTATTATTACAAATAGAACAAAAAATGTTTATGATGCAGTTATATTATTTTTACAACCATTAATAGATGAATCAAGATCAGAAAATTCAGAAAAATATATTATATTAAAAGATTATATTACCAGTATTTTAATTTTTTTAATGGGAAAACCATTGTGTTATTTAGAAGATAAAGAATTAGAATCAAATTTAAAACAGCCATTACCTGAAAAAATAGTAACACTAATAAGTTACATAACTGGAGATTTGCTTCGCTTTTTATATATTGTAAGTCTAAGAAGCAAAAGGATCGAATCTAAGAAAAAAAATATTGAAGAAGAAAGTCTTAATCTTAAAGTAACACTTTTTGAATTAAATGAAAATATATCAGATTTAGCATATGCTAACTTCTACTTTTATGTTATAACAAAACTACATTTGTGGGAAAAGGTACCACAGGTATATGATTGGCAATATATCTTTCAAGGTTGTATCTATCTTATCATTAAATTACTTGAAGACCAAGAATGTGTTACAAAAGGATTGAATTTTATGGATCACATTTTAATAAGAATAACAAGACGTTCTTTAACATTGCAATTATTAGAATTGAATATATACTTTGAGTTGTTTAATGTACTTGTAAAAGTAATGATTTATAGTGATAGTAACAAAGAAAGGAAGAAAGCTTTAAATATATTTCAAAACTATATTGAAATATTTGATATACAAGCTAGATATTTTATCATTTTGCACTTGTATCAAACTAGTGAACATTCAGGTTTACTCAGTTTGGTTACTGGAATATTCAAAGCTTCCATTGTTGAATGTCTCCAAGCAACACCACCTATGCCATATTTTATTGGTAGTAATTTAGAAACTTTACTCAATTTAGCTTGTAACTTACATCATGGCAGTGCATCAGATTTAGTGGAATTATCTGATGAAATAATTACAAGTTTAAATTTGTTAAGATTTCTATGTATAAGAGATAAGCAAAATCAAACTGGTATTTGGAATTTGGTAGATAAACTCCAAAACAATTATTTAAAACCATTAAGAGAAGGAATAGATTTATGTAAAGCACATTGGAAAGTAAAAATAAAAGATTTAAAAGAACAGAAGAAAATGCACAAAGCAACTAAAAACATAGAGTTAGAAAAAAGTGATGCTGTGACATTAACTGTTGGGGGTGAAAAATTACCAGTAATGCCAATTTCAGAAAAAATTTCTTTTTGTAATCAAGCAATAAATGGTCTTGATGTAATGGAAAGTATTTTGATTAGGGTCAATGAATGTATTGCTAATAATCCCTTTAAACAACATAAAATGCAATAGTATGTTCAAAATAAAAATTGTACGTTTATAAAATTTATATTATTCTCTGTATATTATTCACTCTTGAATAAAATCATTCCTTATTTATATTTTATGTATTTTAATTGTATCCTGTTATACTGTTTTATGGAATCATATGTTTCAAAATAAAAATTTGAAAATCAATTTTGATGTTAATAGGTTTTAGAAGTTTATGGAGTTGTAGGATATTACTCACAGATCGTATTGAAAATGATACACAACAATCAAATCAAGAACATAATAAAGAAAGCGAGGAAGAATATGAGAAGAATATCAAATCAAAAATTCTTGATGCATCTTTAAAGTATGTTCATGATTTGGGATGGAGCCAGCAAGCCATCAGTGCTGGTAATGTGTAATAATTTTTCAGTTAAGTAGATGAGTCAGGACTAATTCTTTATGTGAGTGATTAAATATATTTGGAATGTATTATGATCATAATATGTTTACTAATTGATTTTAGTTTTAAATTATAAACTATTTCATATTATTAGTATATAATACAAATAATAAATAAAAATATTTAATGAAAAGTTGTATACCAAAGGTGCTGAGTCTATTGGATATCCTGGGATAATTCATGGATTGTTCCCCAATCGAGCAGCAGATTTGGTTCATTATTTCTATTTAACATGCAATAAGGAATTGAATAAAATCCTTAAAGAACAGGCTTTTGCTGTTCAAGAAAGTCCTACTAAAGAGACAAAGACACTAGAGTTACAAATACGCCATGCTGTTCAAACAAGGCTTAAAATGGTCATTCCCTATAAAAAAACATGGCCACAGGCTTTAGCTCTTATGGCTCTTCCACCTAATGTACCAATGTCACTAGCTAATTTACTTACATTAGTAGATGATATTTGCTATTATGCTGGTGATAGATCAGTTGATGTAAGAGTAATAAATATATTTTTATAGTTATATCTTTTAAAGATATTTTCAAATGTTTTATATGAAAATTTTATTAAATTAGATAAACTGGTATACTAGAAGAGTAGTATTAGCAGGTATTTATAAAACTACAGAATTATACATGTTGCAAGATAATAGTGAGGATCATCAAAAAACTTGGGATTTCTTGCAAAGACGAATAAAAGATGCAACACAAATTCATACGATTCTAACAACAACTACTGATATGGCTTTACCAGATCAAGCTTTAAATCGTGCTACAGAAGCAGCGAGTGCTGTTTTTGTTACGGTAAATATTTTCAATTTTGAGTATTATTTATTAAAATATTTGTCTCTCTCTCTCTCACACACACACACACATGCACACATACATACATACATACATACATACATACATACATACATACATACATACATACATACATACATACATACATATATATATTCTTATTTTTAACAGGCACGCAATATACTTGGATTAAATTGGAATAGGTAGAAAATGAAGACTAAGACAGATTACTTAATAGCTTAAAAGCATGAAGCATTTTATAAGTTTATTTATTACAAGTGAAAATATAGTTAAAAACTTATGTATGAATTTGGAGTTTATGTAATGGAAATATTTAAAAAAAAAGATAACATTAAGACGAATTAACAATCATGGTTAATTTATTTTAGTATCATATTTTAACAAAATCTGTACATTTGAGGTTGAATTTAATACATGTGACTTACTTCTGTGCAAAATATAAAGATATAAACTGTTAGAAATATAGATTTAATAATATTTAACAATTACCCTGCAATATTGTCATAATAAGATAATATAGTCTTTTGTTTTATACAAAATTATGTTATGTCTCCATTGAACAGAGATCAACTTCCATCCTTATCACTGAATTGAGCAGGAGATTATTTTATTATAAAAAATATATTTACACAGCCAAGTATTTCACAAATTGAGTAAACTTTGAATTACGTTAAAAAGTATAACGTGCTTTATAATGAAGTCATTGATGCAAACTGAAATTATCCAAACTATCATTCACATATTGTTCATTATCAATATCATTGAAACTGATACAAATATATCAATCAATTTTTATAAAACTGAAGATATCTAGCAAATTCTAACAATGAGCATTTTAGTTTTTATGAAAAGATACTCATATCTTATCTAATCTTTTGTTATTTCTCAGAAATAAATTTTTCTGAAAAGTTACTGCTACAGAAGATTGAATCTTCAAAAAATTTGTATCATCAATATCATATATTTTCAATATCAGTATATTTTATATTGTAACAAATATTTTTCCAAAAGGCCAATATTAATAATGTGCTTCTTCTATGTAACCTTTGATAGTTTTTGGTAAAGGTAATTTATGAATATTGTCTAATCTAGTATTTTGACGTATAACAAAACGACAAAGATATTGCAAACTTCGAACTTGAGTAAACCTGCTTACTGGCTTTGTCAATCTAACTGGAAAAGATGGATAACCAGGATATCTAGGTCGTGAATAGCAAAAAACTGCTGTTTGACTAAAATTCATCGAATAGTCAATTAAATCAGCCACTGAACTAAATCCTTCACTTTCACTTTGGTTGCATAAAGAGAACAAACCACCACTATGTTCCAAACGAGCATGGAGCAATTTGCCAGATGACTTAAAGCTAAGGGTTAGGACATATCTGTAGCAAAATATTTCACATATGAGTTCTTCTTTATGACTTTTTAAATCAAAAACAAGAAGAGAAACAAACCTGTCATCTGAAGAGTCCCTAACTAAGAATGCACCATCTGGTTCTGATATAAGTTTGGCATCAGCTTCATTACTTGATATTGGACCCCAATACCATCCATAATTACTTAACTTAAGCAATTCTTCTGTGAGACTTGCTTTTACTTTATTATCATTATTTCTACTATCCTCTATATTTTCCTTAATATTTTCAACTTGCTGTTCTGCTATATTATTTTCTATTATTGTTTTGGGTTCTAACTGTTGTGCTTCATTATTGGAGCATGATTGATATATGTTAGAAATACTTTCATGATTAGTATCTGTTTCAAACTTATCAATAACTTGTGTATTAATTATTTCTAATTTCTCTTTAGTATCAATACAACTTTTTATTGTTTCATTTAAATTCTCTGAGATACATTCATTTTGTGATATTTCTGTAGTAGTTAAAGTTTCATTGTTACTTAGATTATCAGAATTCTTACCAGTCTTTTCACATTTTATTTCAGGGACATTATTTTCTTGCATAGGAATCATAGGTCTGTTCTTTTGAAGCACTATTTGATCATAGTTTATATTAGTTTGTAAGCTAGATTCTTCGATTTCCTTTGTCTGTAAGAATTTTTATTAAACATAAAACAAACATTTTATCTACACAAATTTTGTGTACTTACTCTTTGCTTGGATTTACGTGTCAACTTTTTAATCTGCATATGTTTTTTAATATTATTAAAAAAATCGAAAGACGTTTTATGGGAAAAAGTATTTTTCGCTTTGCTTTCAATGATTTTAACATCTATCAAATCTTCTTTTTTTTTCTGAATCTCTTTCTTTTTTAATATGTTTTCACGTCGTGAATCACGCCACCAAAGAAAATCAAATGTTCTGGTGTTCAACTTCCGTGGCTTCAAACATTGATTTGATGTTTTCGCTGCACTAGTTGGTGCAGTCGTGATCAACTCCTCCGATGTTTGACTTATCATATTCAAATGTTGGGCGACCCTTCAAACTGGTTCCAAGTTGAAGAAAGGGTTCTCTTCTACTATCTTATCAAAGATTATTTCACACGCCATCTATTCCTTAACTTCTTTTCTCTTCACGATTATAATTTTTTCTTAGAAATTTGAAAAACTTCACTGCAATTTAGTGCTTCACAACCATGAATTATGAATTATTCTTATGCTGAGTAAATGTAGTCAACACAAGAATGTTTTTGTGTACTTTCGTAAATTTGTTCGGAATTATTCCCTGCTACTTCAAAAAATGTTTTTCCACTAAGTTCACTGAAAAAGTTCCTACTAACTACACCATTATTGGTTAAAACGTCTCGTACCAACAAACATACTATTACATTTCTAGAATGAAAGAATTAAAACTAAAGAAATTGTTGGTTAATTTAAAATTATCTGCGTATTTTAAAAAAATTTTATTTTATTAATGCTTTACTAAAATGTAGATTTTTTTAAAAAGTATAGATATATTCTATTGAAGTGAAATGATATGAATTATATTGAAAATAAGAAAAAAAACTTCCGTTGTTGATATGTACTACTTAACCTCAAATGTAACATCTTGACAGATAGACGGAATATGAAGTAAGAATAAGTTTTTTATGATTTATTTAATTCTATTTGTCATTAAGTGCTAAACATTAAATGATAAAAAAATGAGTGACTCTGAAGACGAAAATTATGTTATTTTTGGAGTTCCTCTTGATCCGATAGACGAAGGTAAGTAAAGATATTTCGGGAGATAGGAATAAGAATAATTATACAGATCTCTGTTTCTATATGAAATTTTTCTAGATAATGTACCAAGGAAGAAACCAATAACAATTGAAGATCAGTATGCATATGATGCACAAGGTAGACGTAGATTTCATGGTGCATTTACGGGTGGTTTCTCTGCTGGATACTTTAATACTGTTGGTACTAGAGATGGCTGGAGACCACAACAATTCAAATCTTCTAGAGGTAGTAAAGCAGAAGGTATTACTCAATGTCCAGAAGATTTTATGGATGATGAGGATACAAGTGAGTTTGGGATTGCACCAAAGGGTATCCGTGCTACTGAAGATTATGTTGATCGTGGACAAAGAGGCATAAAACGTGAAAGAATCACTCACGATAGCAGTGGCCCTATTCCTGGTTCACCAGTATTGAAAGAACTTTTAAAGCCTGTAAAGTATGTGACCTTACTATGAAATAAAATAAAATAAAATAATTTTAAACTTCAAATCATTAACCCTAATAATAAATATTTGATATAATAGAGAAACAATTGGTATTATGTTACTAAAGAAAATGGGCTGGAAACCAGGTCAAGGTGTAGGATCAAGGCTTACAAAAAAGGAAAAAGCTAAAATTAAAAGAAGAAGTGAAAGAATGAAAGATATGCAACAAGAATCTAGTAAGGCAGATTCTGAAAATAACTCTGAGGATTCGGAAGATGACTATGGGAATATTACTTTTGCACCTGATGATTATGAACCATTTAGGTAAATTTGAAATATTAAAATATAATTTTCTTAGATTAAAATACATTAATACGACTTTTTTTTTATAGATGTAATCCAAAAGACAATTATTTTGGTATAGGATATAGTGGTTTAGATAGAAGGACTATACTGTCTGGTCATGTCAATTTATTTGATACTCCAGCATTTAGTATTCAGGATAAAAACAAAAAATTATCAATACACGGACAAGCATTTGGTGTTGGTGCATTTGAGGCAGATGACGAAGATATTTATGAAAAAGAAGACATGTCACGTTATGACTTTATTTTAGGTCCGGAACGGAAAACGAAGACAAGATGGTCTGACAATAATAGTTCAAAAAATTTAAACAGCAATTGTTTAGAAGGCTTTATATTGGCAAAAAATAAATTACAATTAAAAAATATCTTTCCACCGCCAGAAATACCCAAGAATTTCATACCAGTACATACAGTCAGAAAAAGCCGATTTTATCCTCCGATTGAGAATATTCCTCGAACAATAGAAAATGGAAAGCGTAAAGAACTTACAGCTGCAGATAGAGCTAGAATACTGGAAGATACAAACAGCACAAAAAAACAATCTGAAACATATCCAAATTCGGTACCGTCCGGTACAGTAGCTTCCAATATTATTTCTAAATCGCTAAATTTACACGGAAAGCAACAAACAAATGAATGGCAACAAGAGAAAAATCAACGAGCTAAAGCAGCTGTATCTTGGATGGAAAAACTTAATGCACAAAGTTTTGTTAAAGGAGGTATTGTTGGGTCAAGTAAAGATTTCAAGACAAACTTGAAAAATTTAGAAGAATTTAAGGATTCTTTTCTAACTTCTGGTGAACAAACAGGTACAAATAGCAATGAGTTGGATAAAAATAATTCTATACAGGAAAGTACTGTAAAAGCACTTTTCTCTGATCCTGATAAACAAAAACGATTTGAGCAATACTTAGTCTTTATAAAACAGGGCGAAAATAAGCTTGAAAGTATACAACCATTATCTATGACAGAATGGGATAGAGAACATGAACGAATTGAATTCGAGCAAGCAGTCAAACTAGTTGAGCGTCCAACAAATGATTATGTTGCAAATAAATTTACACCTGCTTCTGATTCTATGGATTTGGATACTTCTGTAAAATATAGTCAGGAAAATGAATTGAAACAGGCTGTAAAGATGAAAATGTTTGGAAAATTAACACGGGAACGTACGGAATGGAAGCCAGCAAGTATAGTTTGTAAAAGATTTAATATTCCTGAGCCAAAGATTGGTTGTGCTCAACCTGAAATGCAGAAAAAGGTGAAAAAATTCTCGATTTTCGATTCTCTTGATTGGAGCAATTCTACGAAATTTTTGCGAGCATCGAAAGAAATAAATGAAGGTAGTAGTACACCATCAAAAGACAAAAGCAATATTGACAATATGGACTTGGATGTTGAGACAAATATTGATGTATCTTTTAACAATCATGAAATTTTCGAACCCATATCAGAGAAAATGAGAAATTTTGAAGTCTCTTATGAAAAAATTTTTGGTAAAGAGGTTCCAGGAACATCTTCCAAAATATTTGAAGATGAACAAAATCTGGAAAATAAATTTGATTCAAATAGAGTAAGAGAGACTATAGATCATCAGGATAAAGATCAAGAAAATACTAATCCTACAATAAGAACTACATCTAAAACTAAATCAGAAGAGAAGAAGGATCTTTTTAAAGCAATTTTTTTAAGTAGTAGCGAGGAATCTAATTCAGAGCCAGAAGAAAGTGTAGATAGCGAGGTTGTAAAGTCTGTTTTAATTGGAAAAGTCCCAAGTGAAGTAAATGTAAATAGAAACACTTCTCCACCAAGAGGAATTTTTGCAAAGGTGGATCTTGATAATTTAGTTACTAATTCAAAAATTAATGTAGAACTAAATGAAAAAACAAATAAAGAAAAAGATACAAACACCGTAAATTCTGAATTAGGAACTGAATCCAAAGAAGATGATAATTTAAATTCTCTAGATACTCAATTATTACCTAATATGTATGGACCTGCTCTTCCTTCAAGATTATTAAAGAATGAAAATACAGCTGGAGAATCATCTAATACTCAAACTTTAAAGCCTATATTTAGAAGTGTTGTAGTACCAAAACCCAAAATAGATTCCAAAATTTCTGGTGTGTGGATAGAACGGGGAAAAGTAAAAAAGTCAAAAAAAGAAAAAAAGAAGCATAAACATAAAGAACATAAAAGTTCAAGACATAAGCGGAAATCGAAAAAAGAAAAACGTGATTCGTGATACAGGAAATTAGAATTGTACTAAAGGAATTAAATCAAGTTGCAGATGAAAAAAGTATGTTTACTAATTATTTATTGTATGTTTTTTTTATACGCAGCATTGTATGGTGCATTGTATATATTCAGTGAAATATTTGAAAATGCTTGTGCAAATATGAAATTAAAACAGCAAAGTAATATTCGATATATACAAGAATATATCTTTTTGCATATACTCTAATGCATGTAATTGAGTAATCCCCTGATTTTACATTATTTGTTGCCACTGTACACTGAAATGATAATATAATATCAGTATATTGCTACACTTTAAGAGTATAATCGAATCATTTGTTTGACGTCGTGGAGTTTCTTGATGCTGGTCTACTATGATTTGTGGAACTTATTTTCTTTTCTATGCTGAAAATATAAAAAGAATGATTATTTTTTTTTTGTTCACTTTATGAAAATTTTAATTTCATTAAGATCTACTAAGCTAAAATCTTTATTTCATTAGGTTCGATATTGATTTCGATGTATTTATATAT